AATATGATCTTCTCCAGCTCTATTCGTAATTCGCAGAGTGGAACCTGCACTCCAAGGACCTCCCTTCACTATAATCTTCATCAATCTTGAAGGCACTTCAACCTGCTCACTGTCACTCCCTTCTCCTGTTGGAGTCATACTGAAAATCTCATTTTTATCATCAACTGCATCCGTGAGCGTCACCGTTCCCGAACCCGTTGGCGTTGTTGTATAACTCGCTGTCAGTTTAATGAGAATCTTATTCGGATCACTAGGAGGCTCTGGAGTGGTAGTTTCTGTATAGCTCATCGAAAAAGCATAACCAGCAATTCCAGCATAATTGGCATTCGTATCATTATCAGTCACAGGAAGCTGAAGTACAATGTTTTCACAAGGTACCACGTTGAATGTGACAATCCACTTCTCTTTATCGTATCCCTTTATCACACCATATAGAGTCGGGTTGTATGCAGCTCCAGTATAGATGTAATCTCCTGTCACATGGTTCGTTACACGAAGACGGAATAGGTCAAGAGCTAAGAGAGAGACAACAGGATTTCCCTCTATAACCAAATTCATAAGTCCACTCTTATTGGGAACATCGATTTGCGTCACTTGAAAATGGTACTTCGGCAGCACATCATTGGTGCAAAGATCATTGCTATCCAAAAGATTCGCATCAGCCTCCGTCATCAAACCTGTTTCTGTGATAAACCGGTAGATATCATAGTTGGTGATATTATTTGGTTCAAGTCCAGAAGAGAAAGGTAAACAAGTTAGTAAGTGTTTAAGCGAGAACTTTATGCTTGTGCCCTGTTTTTTCGAATAAGCAGACTCAGCAGCCGTAATAACAGCTGTAGCCCAGGATGTAGCTACAGCATTTGACATCGAATAGCCTTCGAATCCATTACAGAAATCGCGGGTGGTTATTTCGGCTGAAAAACTTTCTTCGTGAATATCTACTGGGTCGGCATAGGATCCATGACGTAAGTATTCGGTTCCAATGTCCATAAGCCCTTGTAAGTCTTTATCAGCAAAATCGGAAAGAACTGAAAAGTCGACTGGATAACGTCTGTATCGAGCCTTGTTCAATATTTCTAGACAGCTTTTTTCGAAAAATGGGTAATGTTTCCTAAAACTCAGAAACGGCTCATACCATTACTCTTTATATTCTTCACATCCATCTACGCATTTTGAGGGATAAGCCTTCAGATAGTCTTCATATCCTTTACGACTGCAAGTATACTTCAGTTGTGTACACGAAACATTAAGCAACAGAAGAGAAATACAAATAGCAATCAAATTCAATTGCATTGGTAGAAACGAATAAATCTATGAAACGCTGTTATTCGGAATTGTAAAAATATGTGGGAATAGGAAGTAATATCAGTTTTGGGCGAGATACATAGATTTTTGTATTCTATATTATGTGCAATTGAATAATTGACAATCCAAATGAAAAATGAATGTTGGTGTCCATAATCTCGACAATTAGCGTGATATTTTATTTTTATATAATTATCATCAACTAGAATAAAGTATTTCGTATTATTAATGATGTATACCGACATTTGAACAACAGTACGGATTCTGAAAAGAAACTGTGAAATTGAATTGAATACTGATAGTGATTCAATATTACATATATCAAACATAATAGGTGGAACAAGTAACCTACTAGGCAGATGTTGGATAATAAGGCGGAATCGAGCTATGGAAGGCTTAGGTAATCCGATTCTGAAGAATAAAGGAGTTACATAGACAAGAATAAGTGCGACTTCAAAACAAGAATTCTGTAATATAGGCTACGTGTATATTTATAATCTGCATTAATCTATAATGAATTCTGCGATGTTGGTGAATTCAACAACCAGTGGTATATTAGCTAAAAAAACTGATAATGTCATTATTGAATAAGACAAGGTAAATTGAAATTACAATTGCTGAGTCAAATAGAATCAAGAGAACGAATTACGATACATGTGGATTATTCTAACATTTTTATTTTCAAATTATATATGTGGATGCACAAGCTAATAAAAGAAGTGTATATCCACTACTCTTGCTGACTACCTGCTAGATTTGATTAAACACGATTAATAACTTATCAGTTATATATTTTTAGGTTTTCTTGTATATCTATGGTCTTTCAGAGTTTATCGTATCTAGATATTTGACTTTTCCAGCAGTTTTGTGCCATTCATAGTAGTTCAAGCGTGCCTGTTCGTTTTGCAAAGAATAAGTAGTCTATACTAGTGCCACTAATGATAGTTTCAATGGTTGAAAAGTCAATACGAACGTACACGATAAATTGTGTTTAGAAGATGTGTATTGCAGGTTGTGTACAAGTATTACTGTGAGGTGATACCGAATTCTACTTGAATCAGTTGTTTATCATAGAATCTGTGATGGTTTTATTCTATATAGTGTACCAAATAGTACTCACTGAACTAAAACAAGGATCACTCAATATAAAACCAAATGTAATTACTATTATTTGTGTTATATAGTTTAGGTTACACAACATAGCTAGATTGTAATTAATATATACACAATAGTATTGAGATCCATTTTGCGAGCGGTATAGTACACAAACCTTTAGTAACAAAAGACTAACATAAATGTCACCCCCTTTTCATCCAACAAGGGACCACCATTCACCACTTGTAATAGCCATACTTTTTTATAGTTATTGGTATTATACATTTATATGAAAGCCATTTTATAGCAGAACAAGAAATAGTTCATTGGCTATTGTGTAACATGGATATTGTAAAAGAGCCACACAATGCATTCATTGCCAACCAGGAGCTCATTTGCTGCAGTTTCTTCAATAATGTATTTTACATTCCTGTAATAGAATCTACAGTAGGTATGTCACTTTGATTTGTGAAGTGTTTACTTAGTTGAACACATACATGACATTAAGTAATATGGACAAAAGCATACCTTTCTAATTAACAATGTTAGTGCTAATAAATGCACATTCAAACAAGCAAGAAAGTCGTAATAGTAATGGTAATTATACAGATGAACACAGGAGTATGCCATTAGTATACTGAACTAATGACCTCCATTCCCTAGAAAATACCATACATTTGGTAACTCTTTCTTATAGATTTCTTAGTGATTCTATTTATACTTATGGCACTATATACTAACGAGAAATACTTTTTAGTGTACCAATTTGAATGGATTCCAATGATATACAATTCAATATGTGGAATGATTTTGAATTATCACTTCCACTATCATTCTTTCTCTGAGTAAATGAATTGCTTCCGATTTTGATAGTTTTCAATCGATTCAATCCATCGATTTGGAATGTTTTCACTGATTCAAAACATTCATTGCCGATTTCGATGATTTTAGCCCATCATACTCATTGTAGACTATTGTTACCAAATTGTTATAGTAATCACATCTATTCACCAAATATCTCAAACACATCCTCTGTTAATTTACTAAATCAGTCATGTTTAGAGTAATGATATGTATTTTCTATTCCATTGGTTATGCCTATCTATTGTATTATTATTCGCATATTTTTCTTTCATTCCAGTAAGATACCAACCTTCATACAAATCAACTCCTCCAACCCTCTCTTTACCATTATCTGTATCCCATTCGATTCTATAACCGTCTCGTTTCATTTCTTCATCAAATTCACCTCGATAGATCACCACATCTTCATTCATAGCATTCTCATCATATTCACGCTTGCATTGAATTACCGTAATCAGTCCTTCTTTACTATTTTCGATCATTCTTCGATCGCCATCATTATTAAGAATCGAGTCCCAGTTTTCTTTTTGTAATGCTTTACCATGCTTATACTCCGTCATTTCGCCGATTCGTTTACCATTTTTCATTGTCCATGCAAGACTCAAAATTCCACGATTGAATAATTGGCATCGACCTTCAACTTTACCATCTTTCATTTCACTCAACAAATACTCATTGGAATGATCTCCTTGATATCGAGTGACTTCATACTCTATTTTATTAATGGAAATTATTTTCTTTTCCCTGGTTATGTAGTCGTTAAGTAAATATCTCCTTTCTCTGGTTTGCTTTGACAAATCTATATAATAATAATAATATTTCTATACGTATACATTCAAAAGAATTTACCATTCTACAGAATAATGCTTTTCCTCTTTGCTTCAGTCTATTTCTGTTTTCACTTTTGTCTGCTCACTATTTTTCGATATGTAAATGCAAGCATAATATTGATGTAATTGGGTTTGATTCTGTTACACAAACTTGAGACTCCTATATTCAGGAGAAATGCTAAAAAGCGTTTTTCATAATCTCGTTGTTTGAGGCAGTGTAATAATTGAGTGATTCATTGTCTAAATGATCTCTGTAGCATAAATCTACACAAAAATATATTATTCTACATCTCTACAAACACAGATAATATAAACACACTATATTTATTTTTCCTATATGGATGGATATATGAATAGCACTCAACTATCAACAAACTGGGATAAAACAGAATGCAAAGCCCCTAGAATAGCTATTTAACATTAAGATTATTCTTATCCCCACCTGGTAATGATAAATTCAAAGCAAGAGTCAAAGTCATGGCACTAATGAAGAAAGTTCACTTACAAAGCATTTTTGTGACAGTGCGGATTATCAAGTCCTCAATTTCATCATAACGTATCCAAAAGTAATTGGAATCCAATATCTCTTCTAACAACATATCAAAGCACTAAGCAAGCTGATATACATCCACTCCTCAAATTAGTAAAAAAACTAACTACTGTTAAACTATTCCCCCCACTTCCCTTGATTCCACAATATCCTTGTAGTTATGTCCCCATGTAGTGTTAACTCTGAATTTCTGTATTTTTGCTTTCATCGCTGCTCCTAATTTCCAGATAAGAATGGCTGTATAGTAATCATTATCATATTATAATCATAAACCACTATACATGTGCAATAAACGACCACGATAACCGCGGAATACGTCTCGTTCCATTCCTTTCGCCTTCCGTCCACATAGGATTGTTCAACCAGCTACTTTTCGCTATACACAAATGGTGAGATACAGGTAGGGATCGTATTTGTATTTTGCTGTCTTATTGGAGTTGTTTTCGTTTTTGTGCTAAATGGGATGCAAATTGCCACTTTTTGAATTTCATTTTATCAGAAAACTAACCTATTCTATAGTATGACTCCTGCTGATACCAAGAAGAGTATTCCCCTGTAATTCCTGTTTCTTATGTGTAGGCTGCAAGGCCCGCGGTTCTTACTTGACTGTGCACTTCAAGAACGCTCACGAGGTGGGTGCTGCCATCAAGGACATGTCTCTGCTCAAGGCCGAGAAGTACCTTAACGATGTGATTGCCCACAAGCAGGCTGTCGCCTTCACCCGCTTCAACGGTGGTGTTGGTCGTCACGCCCAGGCTCACTCCATCAAGGCTCCTGGAGATCAGTGCAGATGGCCCAAGGCTGCCTGCAAGTTCTTCCTGGTGCTTCTGAACAACCTGAAGGCCAACGGTGAGGCGAAGGGTCTGAACGTGGAGAACCTTCGCATCAGCCATGTGCAGGTGAACCAGGCTCCCGTGATGCGTCGTCGCACCTACCGCGCTCACGGACGTGTGTGCCGTAGGCAGTTGGTTTTTGTTGGTAATGTGTAGCCTATCTCCGCCACCCTGCTCACATTGAGATGATGTGCACCGAGGAGGATTCTGCGGTGAAGAAGGCTACTTCGGTAAGTATGGAGGCGTAGTGTCATGGTGTAGAAGCCCACGCACAAGCGTCTCACTCGCAGACAGCTGGCGTACAGAAAGCTCACTCACCAGAAACTGGCTGAGAAGAAGAAGGAGGAGCAGGCCTAAGTTTGTTTCATAGCAGCCGTGGTCGGTTGGTTGATGCTGGCATGTTTGTTATCACAAAGAGAGCAATGGGTGTGTAGAGTACAGCACTGTCGATTGGAGGCGCGGAGCTGCTTGGCGCCCTTCTCGCCTACATAGCCGTAGTGAACGCTGCCGTTTCGCATCACTTCGATGTTCCAGTTGCGATTCGGACGCGTTTGCGAGCCCGCTCTGCGGTTGAAGAAGCCATCGATCCCCTCGTGAAACCCGATCACTACGCGTGAATCGCTCTGCACAAACACACCCGCAGTCGTCGCATCGATCAGATCGCCCGCCTCGTAGATCACTCCCATCAAGTAGTTGTCGATTCGTAGACGACCAATCACAGCGCTCTGCGACGTATTCGTGACGAGAGGCATGGCTTGACGCGAAAACACGAAATAGTCCTAGAACAAACAAAGAGCGACAGAGAGGCAAACGGCACTTCCCGGAGATCGGATGCGTGCTCTGCTACGCGTGTAGTTCGCAAAATAGGAGCGTAGAGCTTCAAAAGAATCGAAAGAAGAGGGAAGGTCGCTCCAGCTTCGCTCATAAACACGGCCAGCGATCTCATGCTAGATGTCAGCGCGAAGGATAGAAAGGACGCACCATCGGTTTTATCTGGCCGGACTTCACAGAATTCTCACAAAACGAAAGGACATCGAAGATCATGGGATCAACGAGGATGTCAAAGTTGATGTACCCATAGTATTTCGCGCTGACAAGTCGTTGGGCAATCGAAAACATCGATGTAATTATGGGCAAACCGAAAGGATTGACCCTACATAAGACCACATCCAGAAACACACTCAAAATCAGAAACAATAATCACAGAGGAACTTGACAAAGCAGAAGCGAGAGTTTGTGTCTTAGTAAATAGAATAGCACGAAAACTATATTTGGACGCGTAGATGTCACACATGGAACGAAACAGCTTTAATTTTCGCATCGTATATGGAGAATAACCATCTTCCGTGGAAAATAGGACAAGGTCAAACGTTTTATCACCAGTAGTGCTTAGATAGTTTTGTACCCCTAATGGCCTTCCATTTTCCTTCGCTTGAGAAGGCAAGAAGAATCTTGAGGTAGGAGGTTTCGGTAACTTTGCAAAAACATAAATTGTAGAGCCAAGAGAGGTCTAGAATGAAATCTGGTTCAATAAAATACGTTAATTCTTAGAAGGGAGTAATTACAGAGAACAACAGCCCAAAAGATGAGTAATAGTAACGCCCAGCACTTCCATGCACAACTCTTCATGTTATTGAATCTGCTGTAATCAATAACGGAAAAGTTGAGGATTCGCTTTTTTCATCTATTTCACTTTGCTTTTTTCATTTCGATTCTCATCACCACTTTCATCGTGTGTTCAACCAAACATTCCACACTCATCGTTTTCTCTTGGCCTCTCGCTCTCCTCTCTGCTCAATCGGTCTCTTCACACTGCTCTTCTTATGATACCGCTTCCCTGCGCTTCCTTCCGACTCGATCGTGAACTCCTCATCGCTCTCCTCCTTCTTCGGCGCTCTCGCCACCCTTTTCTTCCGATTCGTCGTCGCGATCCGCCTATCCTCGCACTCCCTCCGCTCTCCTCACCGCGTCCCCGAGTTAATCAGCGTTCCCTTCGTCTGCGAGCTCGACGGCTCGGTCTTCGGCTATCTCTTCACTCCTCTCGCTCGCTCCTACCGTTCCCCACGTGCTCTGCCGCATGCGGTACGCCATCTCCGCCGCGGCCGCTGTGCACGGCGACGGACTCACATCTGCGTTTAAAGCGTTCTGACGAAGCTACGCGGCTCCGAACCGGAGCAGGGCTCCGCTCGCTCGGGCTCCACCACGATGTCCACGCTCTCCGCGGGCGGCGAGGCGAAGGACACCGGCTTCGCCGTCGGCGTGCGCGTCGATTTCCGATCGCTGTGCTGCGCGGCGCTCTCGGCCGATCGCGGCGTCGCCCAGGCGCGCGCGCGGGACGTGATGGCGAAGCCGTCCCCGCGGGGAGAGAGCAGAGAGCGCTGCACTGCGCGTTAGGAGGGAGGGAGAAGCAGACCGAGATCGGCGAGGACGCGGTCGAGATCGGGTTTTTTGAGCTCGAATTCGGAGGCGAGGAGAGCGGGATCCACGGAGTCGTGAGCGAGGATGGAGCGAAGAACCGCGTCGGTCTGGGCGTCGGTCTGCGCGGGCTCCTGCGTCTCGACTGCGGTGTGCTGGGAGGAAGGATCGGTCTGGTGGAGCGTGGACTCGGTGACGCGCACTTTCATGCACATGGCGTGGAATGGCTGAGAGAGAGAAAAAAGAGAGAAGAAAAGTACGGTGCGAAGACGACCCGCCTCGATGACGAAGGGATCGGATATGAAGGAGGAATCGCCCGGTCGGATCGAGGAGTCGGCGGTGTCTTCGAAATAGGCGGGTTGGTAATCGGGAGGCTGAGAGAGAGAAGAGAAGAGAGAGAGGAGTACGGTGATGTCGTCGTAGTAGTAGAGCTGGAGAGTGATCCATCGCTCGCGAGGCAGAGGAGAGAGCGTGCTGCAGAGCGTGATGAGCGTGCGAAGAAGAATCACCTGAGAGGTCAGAGACGAAGGGACCGAGAGAGAGTACCGCTTGGTTCTTCACGCCGTCGGTGCTCACGACGCTGCGCTCGTTGTTCTGCTTCACCTCCAGCTGGATGTGCTGCGTGTCTGGATAGGTGAAGGCGTCTAGGAGAGAGACAGGGAGAGAGGGAAGGAGTACAGGAATACGTTTCGATGAGGCGGGATTGGGATTTATTCTCGGGATTGTCGTAGATCGCGAAGACCAGACCGCGAAGATAACGCTTTTCGAGAGCATCTGGAAGGTGGGATAGACGAGAGGCAACTCACCGAAAACACCCTCTTCGAGCCAGCGAGTCAGCTGCCAGGCTTCCGAGTTGTGAATGTGAGGCTCGCTTCCCTCCTTGGTGTCCATAGGATGGAGCGCATTGATCATGATTCCTGCGTAGTTCTTCTTACAGAAGCAGTCTTCGTCGAATAGATTTCGCAAATAACAGATTTCACTTATCTTTCGGTCAATGTTGTCAAGTAACCGTACGGAGGTACGAATCATATTTTTCACTACTGCTAACGACTGCTGTTGCGTAACCGCCTCCACTTCCGATTTTTGCTGCATTGCAGTTGCACTCTAGAAAGAAGCATTTCTCGGTAAAAGGAACCATTGTTTCGCAATCCTCTGTCGAGCGAACAAATAAAGTATGCAAATGTCCAGTCGCAACAATTCCCTCCACCTCCATGTGTGAAACAAACAACCATAAACTGAAATCCTTACAGCTTTCCGTGATCGGACACATAGAAAGCGATGTTTCCAGTGGCCAGCAGCTTTCCGCTCTGTCTCATCTCAGCGTACTCCTCGCGCGTCCACTTGGTGAATCCCCACTTCTTCGACACCACAATCTTTTGGCGGCCGGGGAACTTCATCTTGGCACGACGCAGAGCCTCGATGGCGACCTCCTTCTTGTCATCCTTGGTACGGATGGAGATCAGAGGCTGGCCAATGCGCACGCGAGCGACCAGACCGTTGGGCTTACCGAAAGCGTGACGCATACCGGTCTGCAGACGATCGGCACCGGCGCAGGAAAGCATCTTGTTGATACGAGTGACGTGGTAAGGATGAGCACGCACACGCATGTGGAAGGTATCCTTGCCTCCGTACTTCACCAAGTACTTGTTGGCAGCAATACGAGCGGCTTCCAGAGCCTCAGAGGACAGCTAGATATTCAGGAAAGCGCACAAAACGTACCTGCTCACGCTCGTCAGAGAGCATGTGGCAGACGAAAGGATAGGTATCCACGGAAGCAGACTTGTCACCAATATCGAAAATACGAATCTTGGCATCTATTCGTAACTTTCTTCCCACAAAACAAACCAGGAACTCCACGGCAAAAGCGAGACTTAATGTAAGGCTTGTTCTTACAATAACGATAGCAACGAGCAGGACGACGACCCATTTCGATTTTTATATGAAGAATCGAACAAACTAACACTATGGAACCACAGTACCACAAAATAGACAGACTAAAATATCATCCCAGATTCCGAAGTGACAATCAACTGTCAAACAGAACACATTATAGAAACAAAAAATCAAAACGATCTTAATGATTTGATATGGAATAGAAGGGTAGCTGTTCTATTTCCTGATACGAAGGACGATGGTTCTTCTCTGTTAACGAAACGTTTCGAAATAATGGAATTCACGGTAAAAGAGAATTAGCCAAAGTGATTAAATGAGATTATGGCAACAAAAGGAATGAACCAAATTCAAATCCAGTCATTGCAATCGCCCCTAACCATCTTCAAAATCATCCAACAACAACAAAATCATAACAATTGCACGATTATCACCACCAATAATAATCAAAAAAAAGGAAGCAAAAACGACAACTGCAGGATTCGAACCTGCGCGGGCAAAGCCCAACAGATTTCTAGTCTGTCTCCTTAACCACTCGGACAAGTTGTCTTGGAAACCATCTCCAACAATCACTACTTATTAGTACACCAGAAATTCTTGAATGAAACGCTTCTGAGTAGGGAAAACAATGCCATATTCTGTAGTGGCAGTTGACCACACATTCAATTTTCAGAGCATTTAGAATCTTTTGGTAGTTTTTTTCCAATATGGATGATGGGGTAGATGGAGTGTTACGTTTGTGGAGAGAAGGGTCACAAAGCTCGCGATTGTCCGAACCGTTTGTGTTTTTTACCAGAATCAGAATTAGGTGAGAACTCTAATAACGAGAGACCTGTGAAGTGCTATATTTGCGGCGGATTTGGTCATATTTCTCGTGACTGCCCTAGCGAGTCTGGAAATCGCCGTGAGACTACCTGCTACAACTGCGGAAAGCCCGGACACATTTCCCGTGACTGCCCCGAGGAACAGTATTGGAATGGAGAAGGAGATAATGCGTAGCACCCATCCTGTTAATCCTCAGAGATCGAGAGTCATCATTTGCCGCAAGTGCAACCAGGAAGGTCACATTGCTCGCGACTGCCCCAACGATATTGTGTGCCACAACTGCCACCAGGCGGGACACGTTGCTCGCGACTGCCCCAACGAGGCTCTGTGCCACAACTGCAATCAGCCGGGTCATCTTGCTCGCAACTGCCCGAATGAGGGAGTGTGCCGCAAGTGCGGCCAGAGCGGACACATTGCTCGTGACTGCCCGAATTAAGAGGTGATAAGATGTTTGGAGGATTTTACGGCTGTAATTTTCTACTATCATTTTGGAGTTGTTTGTTGCAGGAAAGAGAAGAAGTACATCGCACTACTAAACATGACGTGGTCGCTTGGCTCGTCGAGCTACATGACTGTTGGGTCGAGCTCCATGGTTTGCTTTTTTGGGCATCCTCCGGGGTCTGCCAACCAGCATGAGTCCGTTTGTTATATATGCATCCACTATGCCCTTCAGGAGGGTTGAACCCAGAAGGGTGCTTTGGAGTCCTAGTGAATTTGCTACTTGATAAGGAACAACGACATATAATACAAAAACAGGATAGAGGAGACAAAGGAAGCGCAATGGAACTACTTGCTCCAAAAGTGCGCATAAGCGGTACTCCCACTGTGCGACAGTAGCAGCAGCAACCGGAAAGGAGTCTCTGCATCCGTTGTTTGCTATTTTCAATAGCAGATTGAACCGCAAATTCGATTGAATTATTGGAATTGCCAAAATCGGGCTACTCTGAAGGGCCCAAATTCAAGCAAAATGGGTCTCTAAATAGGTATCTTCTATTCCCATCAGACCCATTTGATTTTACCACCCATCGTATTTCATAATACCTGCTTAGTGAATAGCTGCACTTAAGTTTGTTAAATATGGCTGAAGAAAATACCGCTCCTGTTGTTGTATGGACTCTTTCGGTTGTTTTGATTGTCTAGGAAGAACCCAAGGTCGAAGAGGTCCCTGCTCTTGAGGCTGAGCACGAGCACGATCATGAGCACGAGCATGAGCATGAGCACGAGCATCCTAGCTTCATGCCCCCCAAGCCCAAGGTGGGAAGAAACGAGAAGAAGGCCCGCAAGCTGCTGATCACCCCTGATATGGAGGAGATCCCCAACATCATGAGAGCCACCTTCAAGAGAGACGAGAAGACTTACTTCTTCGTTGACCAGCCCACCATCTACAAGGCCAAGACCTCTGACTGCTACATCGTGTTCGGAGTCGTGAAGGTGGACAATGGCGAGAGCAACGCTCTTCTGAACAGCGCTGTCGATAAGTTCAAGGCCCCTGAAGAGCCCGCTGAGGAGGCCGCTGAGAAGCCCGCTGAGGAGGCTGCTGAGAAGCCCGCTGAGGAGAAGAAGGCTGAGGAGCCTGAGGAGGAAGTGGACGCCACCGGAGTCAACCCCAACGACATCACCTTCGTGATGGAGCAGACCGGATGCACTCGTGCTGAGGCCGTGAAGGCTCTGCGTGACAATGACAACGATATGATCAACGCTGTCATGGCTCTGGGCAAGTAATCGCCAGGAAGACAAACAAGTGCTCTTTCGTAGGTCCCTTCTGTTTGTTTCAAAAAACACACGATTCAAAGACATCAGCTAGCTCGTCCTCAGGCATCACGCGCTCCTCCTGTCGCTTGTGCAGCTCCTCCAGGGCCTTCTGTCGCTTCGCGTAGCTGCCGCTGGACTTCTTCTTCACCAGCGACCGGCTCTTTGCGGGCGAAATGTAGTTGGGATTCTCGTAGAGCGTCTTCCCCATGAAACTGTTGTCGAAGATGCGAATGATCTCCAGAACCAGGCGGGGACCGATCTCCGTGAGCTGCGGCTCGTGCCCGCGCTTCGCGAACTTCTCGGCCTCGTGCTCGTCATGTCCGCGCTCCGAAATCTGGTAGTTGCGAATCCAAATGCGACCGTCCAGGAAGAAGAAAGACATGATGTGGTCCACGAACGGCTTGCTCTTCGGGTGTCCGCGCGGCACCGCGAAGACCTGCTTGAAGAGAGCCTTGATCAGACGGAGCTCCGGGGACTTGTCGAAGGCGCTGTCGAACACGAGCAGAGGGCGCGAGCCCATCAGGCAATTGCCAGTCATCTTCAATTCCTCGGTCGTGTGGACTAGATGAGATGTGCACAAACGATTGGTTGGTACTGTTTTGAGCTAAAAAGCGAACCGAGGGACCGTCAGGAATACGACTGATCCACATGTACACATCAGTGTGACTGCGTGTCTAGGAAGTGACGAAAACAAAATAGAATCTTACCTCAAAAAAGATGGAAGTGGTGCAGGACTTTAACTCGGCCATTTCCGTAATGGCGGACAAACCACGCTTCGAATCAAGCTATCAAAATTAGAAACGGCCTTGACTCAGATCCTACCTTCACCTCCGACTTATAGTGCGGCATCAACGCTTCCAAGTCCTTCATTAAATGACGGGTGCGATAACTAATTCCGCGAGATGCAAGAACCAAACAACGCTGCTTATTTTTGTATTCTACCTACCAGGTGAGGAAATACAGAGCACTCCCTTACTTTGTCTTTCACAATCGTGGGAGTGGCCGCTGACGGCTTGTTCTTCATAGGGATCTTTTTACTTTTGTCCTCCTTATTCTCCATCCTTTGGTTTGATTTCGGAAAAAAGACTGGCAATATTTGCCGTTCCAGAAAAATAGGGATAATTTCATTTCCTTTTCCTTGTGGTATTGTGTATTTGATTCCATGACTACATCAAATACTGTGCGTCAGGGTGGTGTGGACTGACTTATTAGAAACGTTTAACGAAGAATCAGAAACGGCGACAAAAGAAGAGAGAATTAAAAAAGGAGGGACTTCTAGTAAAGCATGAAAACAAGGAAGTGGTATGGCAGTGGGAATTGGGGTGTACTTGTCTAGAAAGTTCCAACGCCGGAGCCCGTCACGGAGAAGGAATCTGCGAGCGATATAGAAGAATATATTGTGGATAGTGAATTCGATCGTGTGAAAGATCAATATGTCGAGCTACAGGAAGTCTTTAAGAATTTTGCTGCTAAGGAAGCGTCTAGCATTGCTCATGTAATCGGATCATGCGCGATATCACCAAATAGAGTAGTATCAATCCCACCGCTGGCACAGAAGATGGAAAAGTCACCGAGATGCAGGAGGAAACTGCTGTACGAACTCATTGAATTCAATACTATCACAGGAAAGCTTAATGAATGCAGATCAGCCCAAGGAGAAGAAGCTAAGCAAGAAAGCGCGCAAGCAGGCCAGCAGACTCACCGTCGCCGAGCTAAAGCAGCTGGTCCGTCGTCCCGATGTGGTCGAAGTGGAAGATGTCACGGCTGCAGATCCGCGTCTGCTGATTTACCTCAAATCCTATCGGAACACTGTTCCTGTCCCTCGCCATTGGTGCTCGAAACGCCACTACCTGCAGGGTCGACGCGGAACGGAGAAACCGGCGTTTAAACTTCCAGGTCCGTTTTTTGGAATTCCAAAAATCTAGACTACATCGCAAACACAGGAATCGCGGACGTCCGCGCGTCGATCGCAGAGAACGAGCGCGACCAGAGCCTCCAGTCGATCGCTCGCGAGCGAGCGCACCCGAAGCTGCATCGCATGGACATCAGTTTCGATGTGCTGTGAGCATGTGTGTGGGCCATGACAAACAGCGAGGACGCGTTCTTCCGACACATGACGAAGCCCAAACTGACCGGATTCGGCGAGGTTTACTACGAAGGCAAGGAGTACGAAGTCCGGCTCACCGACAAAAAGCCGGGGAAGCTTTCCCCGCGGTTACGCGTACCCTCATTCCCGCGGTACTCTCTAGGAAGCCCTGGGCATGTCGGAACTGTCGCCGCCGCCGTGGCTGTGGATGCAGCAGCGCCTGGGCCCGCCGCCGTCGTACCCGAATCTGAAAATCCCCGGGGTGAACTCGCCGATCCCGCCGCACTGTCAGCTCGGGTACTTCGCGGAGGGATGGGGCCGGTACCCGGTGGACGAGCAGGGAAGGCCGCTGTACGGAGATGTGTTCGGGACGTACGTGGAGGAGACGGAGAAGGCGAAGATCGATCCGGAGTTGGTGAAGCTGTGGGGCGAGTTGCCGCCTGTGAATTATGAGGAGGAGGAGAAGAAGGAGCGAGAGATGGAGGGAGGAGAGGAGAACGAGATGGAGATGGAGATGGAGGCGGAGAGAGAGAAGGAGAAGGAAGGAGGAGAAGAAGAGGAGGAGGAGAGGAAGATGGTCATTCCTGGAAGCGAAGTGCCGATGGAGATTCCGCTGAGGAAGGATGTGGGAGGCGGAGAGAAGGCGGCGGAGGAGAAGACGCTGTTCACGCCGCTGGAGGAGGTGGAGGTGAGCGGGGGAACGGGGCTGATGCCGGTGACGAAGAAATATGTGATTCCGGGGAAGAGTGTGTGAGAGAGGAAGAAGTAGAATGGATGGGTTGTTTGTTTTGATAATCGTTGGTGGATGAATGAATGGATGGATGAATAAATAAATAGATGAATGAATGAATGAATGAATGAATGAATGGAGAAATGGGTGAATGGATGAATAATTGAAGGATTCAGTGAATAGTTCAGTGAATGAACGACAAGCTACTGATTCTTGTCTCCCCCAATTGATTAAACAAGCTTCTCATTCATTCTAAACTTCGATTTCTCACTCTCATTGCAGAGATCCACCCAACACGCAACACACGACTATTTCGATTGTGCAAAACAAACAATTCAATGGCTCTGACTTCGTTCGTATTCTTCCTACGAGTGAGACAAAAACGACATAAACAAACAGCAGCTTGCGCGAAGAGATTGCAAACATGGTCCTCCACACTCACCAAACCGTTTTCAGTCATCATCATACCGTCATCCTCATCTTCCTCTTCTTCGTTGACTGGATCCGGATGCGCCAGTTGAAGTCGATTTAGATTCTCAAAGAGCGGATCAACTACGATGAAACTACCGAACGAAACCAACTTGCCGTTATGTCCAACGGAGAAAATAACACTTCAAAAACTCCATCCGTCATTTCATCCTCTGGAACCTCCTTCTCTTCTTCTTCTTCTTCAATGTCACCTTCTTCGTGCTCTTCTCCATTTTCTCCATTCTCAAATGCCGTGTCACCAAATCCAATATCAAATCCACATCCCTCTTCGCCGTCATCTTCACTCGATATCTGGCAGTAAATAGAGGGTCTTTTCCATATGTCGTTCTCGCGACTCACGGCATGTACACCAATTCTAGGATATTCAATCACAAGACTATAGTCAGTTTGCCCATTTGCGATATACACCACGTAACTACACGTAAAAATCAAAAAACGAACTCTCACTCTTCATTCAAAAACAGTGTTCCCGAAGAAAATGATTTTGTTTGATTGACCAGACAATCCATCTTATCTTGTTGATAAACAGGGTTTTGAAGCGCATATTGCATTCCCTCACTGCGAGACAACTCCAATACAGACATGTTCTCTCCCACAAAATATAATGTTCCCATGCTCTCTGCTTTTCCAACAAACAAACAAACAAACAAACAAACAAACAAACAAACAAACAAAATCAACTAGTTCTCTCCATACTTCTTCCTGCAGTCCTCACAATACCAATCCCCCTCGGGCACTTCCTTCAACCCCACACAATGCTACGCGTTACTCCGTTTCCCCATTTCCACCAAGTGAAAAACCCGTCCACACCCCTTCGTCTCCTCCTCATTCCCACAAATAATATTATCGTCGATCCGGATCCCCGGCTTCCCACACAACGCGCACCGCTCTTTCCGACACTCCTCACAATACCATCTTCCCCGCGGGAGTCGCTACCATCAACGAAACGCCCAGACCCTACGGTCAGACCGACGCATTTCAAATGAAACACGGAGGGGCAGCCGTCGCAGCACAATAAATCCCCCTTTTTCTGGCAAATCGCGCAGCGATCTTCCCATTGGTCCGCGTCCGAAGCCGTTTCCGAGCTCAAAACCGCGGTTCGGCGACGCTTCGAGGACGACTTCCCCGCGGGAATCTTCCGTTTGCGGGTGGAGTAGGAGGAATCCGATGAAGAATCCGATGAAGAATCCGATGAAGAATTCGATGAATTCGATGACGAATTCGACGAAGAATCCGACGAAGAATCCGCGGGGAAATCGGAATCCGAGCAATTCTCGCTGTCGTCCGTTTCACTGGCTGAATTCGAATCGAATTCTTCGGATTCTTCGCTGCTCTCCGAAGAATTCGACGAAGAATCCGAGGAGTTCGATTCGAATTCCACGGCCTTCGACCGTTTCGCGCTGCGCGACTTCGACGTGATTCCCGCGGCTTTCGGCGCAGATTTGGCGGCAGGTTTGCGCGGGCTGTGTGGAACCGCGGGGATCTGCTTGTTGGCCAAGTCGATAAATGATTGGCTGGTTTGGAGCGTGCTGAGAATCCAACGAAGCACGATTTCTTCGCCGGCGCGCGGCATTAATTGGAGGTACTAGGGAACCAAACGTGGAAACAGGGGTACGCGGAAGAGCCAGGGGAGATGGAGGGAAAAGCGATCCTCGAGCTGCTTCAGTTTCGCGGTTTTCGTCAAATCGACGATGGCTTCGATTAGAATTCGGAGGTTCGTCCGATCGAATTCGATGGAATCGCACCGAATCTTCTCGATCTGCAATCTCATTGGACGATCCAAAACCGAACGGGAGTTTCAACGGCGGCGGCGGAGAGATCGGATTGCTTGAGCTTGTTATAGTTCGTTATGAACTTCGTTAACAACCGCCGAATTTCTTTTAGAACGTCCATGCAGCTCTTCTCTGGATTCGGTAGTTCGATCAAATTCGAATTCGAATTCGAATTTTTGGGAGGTCTGTTCGTTTAGAATTCGCGTGGATGACTACAGAACCAGCGAAACATCGTCGTCTTCTAATGGAATTCGCGCGTCGGAATCTTTCCACGCGCTGCACATGACAAAAATCGGGGGTATTTACGAGATGAGGGGCATGCATTTGACGAGGGAATCGCGAAGCTTCGCTTCCTTGGCGATTTTTCGACTCAGCAAATGAACCAAATCTGTTATCGCGCTAACATTCGAGATCACGTGCCACTCCGGTTCCATCGAAGTTCGACGGAGTTTCGAAAGAAGCGTTTCTACATTCAGAGCCTTCCGCGAGGATCACGTGTTTTTGTGTCGCGATTCGGTCCCTCCTGGAATAGTGTTTCGACGAAACGGTCGCTGGGGTGGTGCAGGTCGGGACAGAGGAAATAGAGATTATTAAAATCGTGCGGAAAGAGGAAGAACTCGCGGCCGAACCGATCGCAGCCCAGCGCGCTGAGATACGGTTTCCAGTTCTCCGATTCCTCGATCGACTCGATGTGTTCCCTCCGGAATCGCTCGCGTTCCGCCGTGACGCGCAAGAGTTCCTCCGCCTCGGCCACCGACGAGCGAATCGCCAGCACGTATTGCTTGCGTTTTTTGCCGAAGCAGAGGCGATGCTGCTTGCATTGCCGCAGCAAAACGCGCACAGAAGCCGCGTCGCCGCGCGCCACCGCCGCGCGGAACGACTCGATGAACGAGCGCTGCGACGCCGAGAACGACGACAAATCGTTCGGGTCTTTCGACGGTTCGACGGGTTCGACGGTTTCCACGGTTTCCACGGTTTCGACCGTGGGGGACGGGGGGTTCGAGGGTTGCTCGCTCGTTTCTTCCTTTGCCTCTTTGGTTTCTACTTTGGTTTCTCCAGTTTCTCCAGTTTCCACTTTTGTTTCCCCAGTTTCCACTTCCATTTCAGTCTGCTCCTTGATTTCCTCTTCCTTCTCCGATTTCTCCGATTTCTCCGATTTCTCCGGTTTCTCCGATTTCTCCGGTTTCTCCGATTCGAGTTTCTCCCTGCGTGTCTCCTTCTCTTCTCTGCGTTTCTCCTTCTCTTCTCTGCGCTTCTCCCCGAAGCGTCTTCGGCTTTCCCTGCGTTTCTCGGCCATTTCGCTGAGCCGTTCCCCGGTCTACCGTTGAGTTTCCCCGTTTCTCCGACCTGCGAGGAGTCGAGCGCCATCTCGGCGAGAGCGAGGAGGATGGAGAGCATGGTGCGTCCGTCGACGTGGAGCAGTCCTTTCTGCGCGACCTGCTCGAAAGCGTCCTGGAGATGAGCGCGGAGCGCGGAGGCGGCGGCGAAGAGCCCGGTGTCGGCGACGTAGCCGTAGAAGAGGAGGCGAGCGAGCTCGGGCCAGGTGGAGAGGGAGAGACAGCGCTCGCCGATGTCGAAGTGCTTGAAGACGGAGGCCAGCACCAGGGAAACGGGGAAGGACGCAGGAGGCGTGGGGGTGGTTGGATTGGTTTGATTGGTTTGATTGGTTTGATTGGTCGAATTGGTGGAATTGGTGGAATCGATCGGGCCGATGGGGTCAGCAGAGTCGGTAGGGTCAATAGGGTCAATAGGGTCAATAGGGTCTGTGGGGTCGTCGGCGTCGTCGATGTTCTGGAAGTCGTCGAGAATGATCTTGAGAATGGTGATGCAGAGCGTGCTGTAGTAGTGGAGGAAGCTGCGAGAGGAAGGAGAGAGATGGGAAGGAGAGTCGGATTCCGCCATTTGGGGAGCGATTTGGTCGAGACCTTTCAAGAGAATGAAGATGTAGTTCAAGGACGTGACTCGGATCTGAAAGAGCTCTTGGAACTTCGATAAGTACATCCAGAGACGGACGCACAGGGAGCACACGTCCGGAGGGACATTCACGATCGATGACAGCAATTGACTCTGCTCCTGGATTAATTTGTTCAGATTCTCGCCTTCTAGAATCGAGCACCAGCGAAAAGCACTACGCGTTTCCTGGGGTTTCGCATGAGCCGCTTGGAGCTTCCACTCGAGAGAAACCAGTCTAGATTTAATTTTCTTCTTTTTTGATGAGATGGAGGAGGACTCGGAGACACATTGCGACCGTTTTTCCTGTAATTCGGCCAGCTCCTTTTCCTCGGGTATCGGCTTGTAGAAAATCGAGGCAAATTTCTTTTTCCGCGGCCGCTTACCCTCACTTTTCAAAGTTGCTTCCTTTTTCACTTGTATGGTCGGCGCTGCTAGAGACGACGCACCTTCCGTAGATTCAAGTCTAGTTGTTCACACCAATTCATCACAAGTACTGTGCGCTTTGTTTCTCATCGCTACATTGCACACTCGCTTGATCCGCAGAGCAGGACCTACTTTTCAGTAGAAATGGCGATCAAATACAAAGTGTCCGTCTTTTCGGTTTTCACCTCAATCTCCATGCTTTCTTTCGATCTACTCCCTAATTCCTCGCTCCAAACACGAACGGTGCTTTCGCGGCATCAACGCGCTCTTCTGGCGGCGATTGTTTCTCCGCCAAGGAAGGCAGCGCGGCCTTTTTTCCAAAGAAGGAATCGATGGACTTGCTCATCTCCGCAACAAAAAAGTGAATTCAACAAACAGCGTCACAAGTTACAACTCCTCCGGAATCTCGTCCACCGTGCATATCTTCGTGACCGTCTCTCCTTCCAGCTCATAGGTAATCCGCAGCTTCATCGTGGTGACCTTCTACATTTCACTCGCCTTTCTCTCTGCCCACCTCTCCATACGCGTTATTCCGCACGCGAATCAGCTGTGTGGAGACGTCCTCGTTCCTCCCCGGGATGATGGGGTCCGAGATGGGCTTCATCTGCACCTTCATGTACTTGGGCACCGCGGCCTGCATCGCGAACTCCTCCACGTCCGCCTCGTTCGAATTCGAGATCACCGCCTTGATGATCGTCTCCGCCTCGTCGCTTCCCTTCTTCATACGGAACACGATCTTCACGCCCTCCTCATCGAACACCGTCATCATCGACCGATCCTCCATCGGCGTTTCCGACGACTCCCCTCCCGCGGGACTCGACGAACCCATCGGGTCCATCGCATTCATCGCGTCCATCGCACCCATGGCACCCATCGGGTCCATCGAGCTCATCGAGCTCATCGGGTCCGTCGTCTCCGGAACCGCGGTTCCAGTGGTTCCCGCGGGGACCGGAGCAAAGAGAGAGGCGACGTCCATGGCGACATCGCGCGTTTCCTTGGGGGTCTCGATGGTGTTGAGCATGTCCATCACGCCCGCGAACGGGTCGTCGCTCTTCCCCGCGGGTTGCCCGCTGGCGGGGAGCACGGGCCCCGCGGCCGCGTAGTCCAGGCCCAGCAGATCGTCCATGATGTCCGCGGGCTCGCTGCTCTTCGCCGTCTTCCGCGCCGGCGCGGCCTCGGCGTCGTCCTCGGCGTCGTCCTCGACGTCGCTGCCGCTCTCCGCGTCGCTTTCGGCCTCCGCTTCGGCCTCCGCTTCCGCGCGTCGAGCCTTGGCGTTGTCGATACTGAGCGGCGGCATGCGCTCCAGCACGGTCTCGCGGAGCGCGGCGAACGCGTCGCCCAGCATTTCCTGGTACTCGCAAGCGCGCTGCTGCGCCTGCAGCCCGGTCGACGTCTCGTAGGGCCGCAGCAGCGCGGCGATGCGCGCGTCGCAGCCCTCCAGGCGGTCGGAGAGCTTCGCGAGCGCGGTCAGCGCCATGCCTATCGCTCAGCGCGGCGGCCTGCGCTCACTTTTCGTGGTGGCGTCGAGCGACGGAGCGCCGAGCACCTTCTCGACGAGGTCCAGAATGGCGGCGGGCTCCACGGCGTCGAGCTGCTGCTGGCGCTGGGAGTCGAAGAAGGGCTGGAGCAGCTCGTCGCCGTACTCGCCGAGGAACCACACGCCCACCTGCGTGAGGGAGACTTGCGACTGGTCGCGCTGCAGGAACAGGAACAGCTTGTGCGTCTACGCGTGAGTCGCCGGCTCCGCGCGCACCGTATAGCTGGCCAGCAGGTCCTCCTCGTTGCCCACGATGGAGATGAGCGCGGACGTCACCTCCTCGTTCGCGTACTTCCCGCTCACCTGCAGCACCGCCAGCAGCGTGTCCACCTGCCACTGCGACGACGGCGCGAACTGCTGCACCAGCGACGTGATCTTCGACAGCAGCTCGGGGCGCTCCGCGTCCTCCGCGACCATCTACGCGCGATCCCCGCGGAACCTCATCGCCTACGAGGTAGTTGAGCAGCTCGCGGACGAGCTCCTCGACGTTGCGGAGGTTGACGAGCGCGAAGACGACCTCGAGGGCGCGGCGGCGGATGGAGGGGTCGCTCTCTTTGAGGCAGCCGAGGATGGTGGAGCGATGGCGCGAGACGGCGGCGTGGTCGATCTCCGCCATCTTGAGCAGCATCGACAGCGCCACGTAGCGGATGTTGCTGTCGCTGTGCAGCAGGAACTTCCCGAGGATGTTGGCGCCCAGCACGCGCTGGCCGCTCACGGCGTCGATGCTCATGATGGTCTTCACGGTCTCGTAGAGCACCGCGTTGCCCGCCATGCACGAACTGTCCGTCTTGGTCGCGATCTACGCGTCATTGCTCGCTTCGCGGCGCTCACCAGAGCCAGCAGATCGCCCAGCTGGTCGCTGCTGTCCGCGTCGTTCGTGGCCAGCAGGCAGAGGAGCTTGAGCAGCTCGACTTGGAGGAAGGGGTCCGGGACGCCGCCGATGTTGTATTCGCTCTTGAAGCTGCCGCTGATGATCACCTTCATCTTCTTGATGAGCCGGGGGACCAGCTTGCGGAACTTCGGGATGTACGAGGGCGCTTTGTGCAGGACGTAGAGGGTCAGGGAGATCGCTGGGTCAGAGGAGAGAAAAAGGACATGTACCGCTGATCAGCACGCCGTGGTCTTCGTCCGCCAGAAGCGTCGGCAGCGTCTTGACCATGTCTTCCACCATGTCCGGGACTTTGTTCAGCACGTTGATCATACACAGACAGGCCTTCTTCTTGATGAACGGGTTTGAGCTCGACATTTTCTGAAGCACGTCCGCAAAGATGTCGCGTGCCATGGCTTCCGAACACACATTTGCTGCCGCCGTCAAAGCGAGACCTTCCACATATCTACCCGTGATTTCCTGTACACACACCCAACTGCTCTCCAGAGTTGATATCGCTCTTCAGAGTGTTCGTTACGAGAAGGAAAATGTCATTATCCTCACTGACCAAAAGTGACAGCGACAGATAGCCAATTCGCTTATCACCAAAATCAGGACTCGCAATCAGTTTCACACTCTGCACCTGACCGAAGTAACTAGGATAGCCCATCAAATGAATAAACAGCAGCTTTGCCATGTTCGACTGGGCATTTACCTTATCTTCCTCACGGAATGCATTACGAATAAGTGCAGACTCCTTGGAAATAATAGCTCTTTCTTCAGCCGCAGTTTTCGCTGCTCGAACTTGCCGGATGAAGTCACGCGTGGTTTTCTTCACAAACGGAATACTTATCTTATTCATATCTACAACACAAAAGGAGTATTTGAACGAATGGGAATCAACTCGAAAATCGCACGAATAACCGCGGTTTTCGCTTTTCACGTTTATAACAAACAGGTCAAAGAAACACGTCTAAAGATACTACTTGTGGAAAACGTACCAGATGCAGAAGCAGATACACACCGCGATCACGCAGGCAACAATCAAGCTACATGTCAAGTCTGTCTCTTGAGTCGACTTGTCTCTGTTCTTTTTGTTTCGAATTGACCGGGTGAGAGAGTTTACGACGGGTACGCGGTTTATTACATTGAACAGCTTGTCTGCACTGGAACGGAACTTCTTTCGCTGGCTTAGCAGCATCGAATGGCTCTCCGAGGCCTGCCTATTCTAAATTCGCACAAATGAACCGACTCAAGATAGGAATCGGCCATTTGCAGAGAACGCTGCGCAGCTCCGCGTTCTTTGAGTAAAATCTTTGTTTCATCCTCTTCTCCGGACATCCTGATTGTAAAATTCAATTAGGAACACGCACTCGCGAGTGATGGTGGGGTGTAGCAAAGCGTTGTGTTCCCGTTTTTGATTAATATTTTCCTACATGTCTCAGAAAGCGGAACTCTGCTCACCGAAATTCGGTGATAATCACTGCGCAGTTCATGAAGCACATCGCGCTGTCTCTACCATTCAGAGAAGAGAAACATTCCAAACCTTAATAACCGCTTTATAGCTGTGATTTGATGATGTTTGAGCTATTCTTTCCATGCCCTCAAGATAGTTCAGGTACTAGACATTATTTACCTCAGCCAATCGCACGTTTTTAAACAACACTATAATATCGTCGTTAAGAACGCTCGAGCCGTCCATAGGACTCACTAGATAGAAACAGCAACAAAAACGGCACAAATCAATCCAACCGGTTCATCATCGAGCGAACGATAGTAGGAACCTAGGTCCTGCAGCTTTGACTAGTGGATCAGAAGGAGAACATCATGCAAACTTGTAACATGGATTCAGTGGCTCGAATACTCACATTTAAGCTATCCCACTATGGTTAAGTTCGGAATAGGTAGTTTACCGATGACATGTTATGAAGAAATGTGGATATTTACAGTTTGAGCAGTAGGGAACATTCGATTCCTGGTAAAAGAATCGACAGTGTGTAATGTGTCGGTGCATGAACATACAAGACTTGTGTTTCCCTGCTCCTTCCTGTGTTCTCCTCCTGTTATTTCCATTATTCTCAATCTGTTCGAATTGTTAACTGTAAATCACTGTTTATTGATAATCATAGTCTTGTGTTTTGATAACTGTACACTGTCTTTTTTGATTTATCAGTAAAGGTTTCTTCGGAACCATATATCTCTACTAGTGTAGTGATTTTTGTAATTGCCAGCATTCGGCATTGGGGTAAGGGTTTATTTGCTCAGGTTAACTTTAAGGGTCAAACTCGATTTAACTAGAAGTTTTACTGAGATTTCCTTGGTTGCGACAGAACCTATTTTAATTTTAACATAATGGATGATTTTAAAAGATTTCGTTTGCGAAATGTATTATCTTGTATCATCGAGAGTGTTGTGAAAAGGGGAGATGAAGTAGTGTTTTTTCCTGTTGTGTGATCGAAGACAATATGTGATCAGCCTATTACGCGCTTCACAGCTCAGTCACCTCCAGATATCTCGGTTCGAGATTACATGGAGAGGTAGGAGCGTGTTGACGCTTTCGTAAACTTTTTAGGCTGTATCGCTATTCCAAATGTAGTGTGGAATGCCTAGTTCTGGCTTTAATATACATTGACCGCTTTATTCAAAGCTCGAATATCCAGGTTAACTCGTTAACCATTCATCGTATCTTACTAACAAGTGTCGTGCTAGCTGCCAAAACCTATGATGATAATTTTTACACGAATACTCATTACGCCCGTGTTGGCGGTATTCCCGTGGAAGAGCTCAATTGTCTGGAGATCGAGTTCCTGTTCAGCATCGGGTTCAGTCTTTACGTGAGTTGCGAGGATTATCTCCGATACCACACAGAGATCTACAAACACTCCATGAGTCGTGTGTGTAATTTGTGTAGTAGGGGACACGAAGAGAGGGTAATGGGTAGGTGGTCTCGATATTCCTATGCTTTGTATGAGCGAAAGCAACGACTCCAGTTTTGTCATGCGGTATGGAGATGGACGCGACTGCTCGCCTACTAATGTGAATTATAATGTCATGAGCTATTAATATCAATGCACTTGTTGTTTCATCGATCTGTGGTTTGGGTGTTTGTTAAAGAAAAGGAAGGAAAATGGAGTTGTTGGAGTGAGGTGAGCAATCAGTCCCCCTTCATTCATGCAATCCATGCAATGCATGCAATTCATTGATTCATTGATTCATTGCTATTCTATTTTTGTTCCATCTTATATTCCTCTTCTACACCCAATTTGTCCCTCTCCCAATCCATCCACTCGCATTTCAATCAAACAAACAGAACAACCTCTAAATGTACAAACTTAAGCACTCTTCGGCTTCTCCTCGTTTCCACCCCTACAAATCACACCTCAAATCCACTCCCCTACAGATAACGCTTGATGTAGAAGCGCGAGAACAGCACAATCATGGTCGCCATGTAAGCAATCAGCAGCCAGTTCAACCAGTGCGGCATCTGGCAGTTGCCCCTACACCTCACACCAATTCCACTTCCCTACTTCACCAGATCCACCACGTTCACCAGAGTGATCAGAACGAACTGCACCAGCTGCAGCTTGGTCAGGTACGATCTCCACCAGCACTTGAAGCCCAGGATAGAGCACAAGTAGTGAGTGTACATCAGCATGTGCACGAAGGAGTTCAGGAGCACAGGCACGCAGTTGTCACCGTTGGGGTAGGCAAAGAGGAACAGACGGACCATGATGGTGATGCTGCTGTGGTGGTACACATGCAGGAACGTCACCTGGCGGTAGGACTTGCGCAGAATGAAAATGAAAGTGTCCAGGAACTCCCAGTACTTCTGGATGTAGAACACGTAGAACACACGCACAAGTTGCTTGGCCTTCTCAGAAGCGAAATCAATGTTGCTGCAGCTAAGCACGCTTCCATCCAAATAATAGTAACGGAGCATTCCGTAGAAGCAGTAAGTAGCCAGGCACACGCAAATGAAGTTGTACACAATCATGAACTTCTTAGGGTTGAATCTCTCCTCTCTTCTGTTCATAATCTGCATGAGTACATAGATCGTCACGAAGTAGAAAATGTTTCCAATGATCATGGACTTGTAGTCGGTCATAGGGAAAGAGCTCACATACTCCACTGTGTGTTATACTTGCAGTCAAAACACCTACCAATTCCAGTATTAGCGGTAGTTTCGGTGATGTCAAAGTTGAACATTTTATTATTCTTTCTGAGAGCTCTTTAAGAACCAGTAAGAAGTAATTAAAAAATTTTTGAAAAGTACGTGGAACTATAGATAGATAAATCGTCATATCCCTTTTGATGACGTCATCTTTGAACGTGGTCAAAATATTTATTACATCATTCTGATTCATTGTATTTTTTGTTTTTTTCTATCCGCAACTCAGTTCCATAGACGATAGACCAAAATCAACCTTTATACTTAGATAAGATAAGATAAGATAAGATAAGATTTTATGAGGAGTTTCATTTTTCATTTCTTGTTTACCTGAACCATTCTTTTTTAAATGGGCTGTATTCAATCGACTCCTGAAGTGTCTTATGGTAGTTACTCAACGAATTATGTGTATTTGTCTGATGGGACCGAAGAATCCCTCGAAATGTATAAAGCGAATATTGGCAACTCCAGTAAAGTGTGTGTACGAGCCATAGAAATTGATTTAGAGATAGTTATCCTTCTCTTGCTTCAATCTCCCCAAAATGGACTTATTAAGCGATACGGACGCTTTCATTGTGGTATATGAGAAACAAAAAACAGGTTGGGTAGAGATTGATAGAACCGAAGTCCTTGTGAACAATAACAAGTAGTCATAACTGAATTTTTATCACTAGTCCTGTATTTGTGAAGCGAATTATTTTAAACTACGTTTTTGAAACTGTTCAAGAGTTGAAATTTGCTGTGTATGATGCTGATGAGCACTTGACCGCGGAGCAAGTACTTAGCATTACCTATTATTATTAATCGTTAAGATGGAGCTCCGCTCCAAAGATTTCATTGGAGAGGCCAGCGCTATTTTGTCCGAAATTGTTCATCGTCTCTCTGCGACGGAATTGAAGATTGTGAATGGCAAGTCGACGAACAGCACGATGCTCATCAAGTGTGAAGAGTTGGAGCAATCCAACAAGCTGGTTCGCGGTTGTCTAATGGGCATCGATCTGCCCCAGAACTGTTTCTTTATCATTTCTCATATCCTTTTTTTGGTTGTGTGTTGGATGGATGGATGGGTGGGTGGGTGGATGGTTTGCTCATTTGCTTGTTTGTTTGCTTGTTTGCTTGCTTGCTCATTTGCTCATTTGCTCATTTGCTCATTTGCTCATCCATCGATTCATCGAATTACCACAGTTCCTTCACCCAGATGACGTGGAATCCAACGGCAGCATCCTGATTTATCGCTCCGAAGTCCTCCCAGACAATCGCTGGGCGCCCTTCGAGATCGGCGTCTCCCTCTTCTGCAACAACGACTTCGTTCCTCTCTCCTCTCCTCCCTCTCACCTCCAGAGCCGTCCCATCATCATCTCCGTCTACCAATACGCCAAGAACGGCAAGCACGTTCTCCAAGGATCCACTCGCGTACTCCTCCTCCTCCTTCTCTCCTCTCCAGACCAACACCTCCGACTTCTGCAAAAGTACCAACCTCCAGCTCCAACTCTGCAACGGCGCCTCGAACGGGTTTTACTCCCTCTCTCCCTCCATTCTAGATCGATCTACGTCAGCCAAGCAGCGTGTATCACGCAGCCGAGCTTCCTCCAGTTCGTCAAAAGCGGCCTGGATCTCAACTTCATGGTGGCCATCGACTTCACCGCGAGCAACGGGAGCTACGACGCGGTCGGCACGCTGCACTACTACAACACCGAAAGCTTCCGTCGCGGAAATCTGAACTCGTACGAGAAGGCGATCACGCTGGTGGGGAACGTGCTGGAATACTACGATACGGATAAAAAATTCCCAACGTATGGGTTCGGAGCGTGCATCGATCAATCGACGACCACTTCGCATTGCTTCGCGCTGAATCGCAACGAAGACGATCCCGAAGTGGATGGCATTCGCGGAATTCTCGACGCCTATCACGCGATCATTCCGCAAATCCGCTTCAAAGGACCCACGTTGTTTTCGAATGTGCTGAAGAAAGCCATTCAGTGCGTTTTGCTGGCTGCGCTCACGCGTAGAAACGCAGTCGATATCCAGGAAGAGAAGTCCAAGTATTTGGTGCTGCTCATCATCACGGACGGGTGCATCGACGATTTCGACTCGACGACACAATTGATCGTCGATGGCGCTGATTACCCGCTTTCGATTCTGATTGTGGGCGTGGGAAGTGCCAACTTCGAAAAGATGGATGTTTTGGATGGGAACGACAAACGACTCAGTTACGGGGGAAAAGTGGCTTCCCGCGACATTGTGAAATTTGTCGCACTCAACGCGATTAAGGACCGAACGCCGCAGGAAATCGCGAAAACGCTGTTAGAGGAGATCCCGAGACAGGTCGTGGATTATATGAAAGCGAATGGAATCACGCCTGAATTGATTGCGGGTAAGGAAGCGGAAAGGTGGTGAGGGGTAGATCTGAAGTCGAAAGAGACGGCTTCAACGGTGTAGAGATGAGAAGAAGGGGGAAGGGACTATATGGTATTTGTAGCATTCATTGTGAATTGTTTGTTGGACACAGTTTCATTATGATTCAAGAATCTAGGATACAAAGATGCAGATATTGCAATGATCAACCAAAAGGATAGTGATTGAAACGAGCGCATTGGCCAATATTGGAGAATGCATGACACAACCCAATGCTTATCCGAAAAACAGAATTCAAATTGCTACTCTGAATTGGAGAAATAGGAGAAACATCTTATTTCTCGATTATTCCGGATTCCTTTGTACTCAAAATATGCCAGTCGAATCAAATAACGAAAAGCTGATTGCTGTGATCGGAGATGAGGTTGGAAATGAGTGGTTGTATAATCATGGAGTAGGATACTGTAACTGGATTATTGCTTGCTGGAATTGGTGATAAGAGTGAAAAGAACGGCACCAATTACATGATCGTGGATAAGGGTACGGAGTTTTTCCTTTTCTCTGATTTTCATAGACACGAAAGTAAAAGACATTGAAGCAGAGTTTAAGAGACTCTCGAAGCGCAGTGATATAGGTATTATCATTATCAACCAAAGCGTATCCTTTTTCTTCTTTTTGTTATTTAGATCGCAGATATGATTCGTCACATCTTGAATAATTACACTTCCACAATTCCGACTGTGATTGAGATTCCTAGCAAGGATAAGCCGTATTGGTTTTGGCAATTTTGGTGAGGAATAGATACGACGCTACTCGTGACACGGTGATTCGCAAGGTGGCCAAGATGCTTGGAACGGAAGAAGCTTGAGTTCTATACGATACAATGATAAATAGTGGCCTGTTAGTTTTATACATCAAGTGATAAACAAATCTATTTCACAGTTCATTTTATTCTTCGTGTTCTACTAGAATGGCACGTATGAAGATTTGTGGGACACAGCTGGGTATCGGAGACGATGATTTGGGCTTAATAATGCTCTTCCACATCTGTTTCCGCATTCTCAACTTTGTATGCCTCATAATTTCATTAGCAACGTATACATATGAAGTAGAAGGTGAAGTACCGCCGTATCCTTTCGTTATTGCATTTTCACTAGAATTTCGTTTGGTACGTTTGTAATTATTCAGCTTGTGATATGCGTGATTCTTGTTGCAGTATGAATGGGATCATGGAGTCAAATGCAGATTGAGATTTTTTCCATTTACTTTTCTTCGAAAGGAATTATATTGGAGATATCCTACTGCACAATACCTCATTATTATTTTTAAATAAAACAAATTGGATAGAATGAATGACAGTTAATTTCCTTGATGATACTCAACGAAGCGCAAAGCAACGATTCAGCTCTTCAGCATTCACAGCTTTCTATATGTAATTTCGGATATCATTAGTATTACCACATACTACATCGTAGAATCCAATCACCCATTCTCATCCTTGTTAGTTCTATAACCGAGCGCCTTCCTCCTCGACTCTCGTCTTCTATTCATCGCTCATCTTCCCAATGGTGTTCTGCATCGTGGAGCTGTCCATCGCGTTCATCTTCACCATCTTCACCTGTTCTCCCAAAGTGAGCGAAAAGCGGATCCGTTTCGGTCTCCACCTCCTCTGCTGCTGCATAATCCGCGACAACAACATCATCGACAGTCTCGTGTCCATCATCATGCGCCAGCCCTCCTTCCGCACCTTCTCTCTCAGCGACATCGTCGCCGGTTTACTCATGACCAACCTCGTCTACCACGAAAAAAACAACCTCATTAAGCACATCCCGAACCCCGACGAGCGCCTGCACATCCGCACCATGCGCGTCCACGAATTCATTGAATACATCCATCGCAACCGTATCGCTTCCCGCGCCTTTTCACGCCCAGCACAGCTCTCCCTCTCCTCCGAAGCCGTCCGCAAGGACGAACTCTCCAGGCATCGCCGGTCGGTTCTCCGCGTCACTTCGCAAGGCGCCGAGCCGGCTTCGCCCGCCTCTCTCTCCGCGATTGCCCAAAATACCCACTATTCTTGCGACGAAGAGCCGGTGTTCGTGGTGGATCGCGACGGAGAGAGGTACAAACTGCTCGCGAAGAACTCGGCGGACGACATTTTCGCGGGGATGGACGTGGAGATGGGGCAGGGGAGCTACGCGATGTCGCGGATGACGTACGGGATTTCGCGCGAGCAGCTGAATGTAGCGATCCCCGCGGGGTGAGATGTAGTATTTGGCGCACATGGCGACGTACGCGAACGCGGTGTATGGGTTTTCGCTGTTTGTTTTGAGCACAGAAGTGAGCTTTAGCGTGTTTCTGAACTCCTACCTGGAGAAAAACTCGCAGCCGCTGATGCGGCAGGTCAATCAGAACCTTCGCGAGACGTCCATGAAGGACTACAACCAGCTCAAAGTGAGTTTCTTTGGCGAGGGTGAGGCGCAGATCTCGCTGCAGTCGCTCATTCATGAGATTGGCGGCGCGCTGATCTACTGCACCGATCTCAATTTGTTTCTCTTCCTTTTCGACCTCTCTGATTTTGTAGAGTCGGCAGAACGCCTTGGTTCATCGCTTACGACGCCACCTACGACGCTGTCGTCATCAGCATTCGCGGGACCTGGTCCCTCACCGACGTCGTCACCGACATTCTAGCCGGTCCCCGCGGTTTTCTCCTCTCATTCGCAGACGTACAGCCCCTCGACGAAGCAGGGAAGGAATACGGATTCGACGGCACTGGCGAATACACCCACCGCGTACTGCGTCCAATCCACTCAATCAAAGCAAGGGAATGTACCTCGTAGCCAAGGAAGTTCTCAACGACGTCCTCCGAATGAACATTCTCCCCGCGATTTTCCACAAACAACCCATCAGCAACGACGATGTCGACCTTCCTCCCGAGCTCCTCGACCACGTTTCCACGTTTCCACGTTTCCACGAATAGATTACAGCGTCCACGCGGCTGGTGATCGTCGGCCATTCGCTGGGCGGCGGCGCGGCCGCTTTGATGTCAATCTTCCTGCAGAGTCAATACCCGAACACGTGCTGCGCCTTCGATCCCCCCGGCGAAACGCTCTCGCCCCGCCTGCGCGAAGAATCGACGCGGTTCATCACGACCACGGTGTTCGGGTACGACATCTTCCCGCGGGTTTCGTCGTACACGTTCAGTCTGCTGCAGGACAACATCGTGAGCTCGCTGTGCTACTGCAAGCTGAGCAAATCCCGGTTCTTCTGGCTGGCGTTCGCGAATAGACTGGACATGAAGTCGCTGTTTTACACGACGTTCGCGGAGATGTCGTGGGAGAAGCAGGACACGCTGTCGAACTGGCTGATGCAAGTGCGAATGAGGGAGGCGTGTGATGTAGAACCAGGAACATCAAGAGCAATACGCGAAGAAGTGCTTTTTGCCGGGGAATATTATGTACGTGAAGTTCGACAAGCTCTATGTGCTGACGAAGAAGGGAAGGAAGAAGACGCTGGTGAGGGAGAAGGCTGTGCACGCGGTCGCCGAAGAGTTCTTGGACATTCGGCTGGGACATCATTTCTGGTTTAATCACTGGGTTTTCCTCGTAGGGAAAGAAGGGGAGGGGCGTGAGGCGTAGTTTCCAGTTTGGTTGAAACGAGCGGCGGAGAATGCAACGGAGTGAAGGAGGAGAATCGGCTGCAAATCGTATATCATAACGGGAGAATGAAGGAATGAGTAATTCTTGCTGTATTTCGGTTAGGAAACAAGTTTTGATTGTTTGATTGTTTGTTTTATGAACCAATGAACGCGGCAAAAGGAAAGAATCCATAGGTGATGAGACATGAAAGGGGTAATAAATGAATGAATGAATGAATGAATGAATGAATGGTGGGTGGATATGTAATAATCAAACAGTCTTCCCCACGATCCGTCAGTAGATAAGACTCAAGGATTTGAATACTACATCAATGCATGTTATATCCAACAATAGGTGTGTGTTTTTCTTCCATACTAATCGTTCTCATTGATACCAAAAAGGAAAAACAATCTATTTCATTGCTCCACACACTTCAAAAATGGCATATAACATATCCACACTATCATCATGACAAAAGAAATCAAGCAAATTGCATGCTACTAACAAACACAGACTTGTATAAAGTCAAACAATTACACACAAAACTAAACAACAGATGCCAGCCATCGCAAAACAGTATAGATCGATTCTGGACGAAGCGACGAAGTCTGAAAAACCTGAAGATAAGCCTGTCCGTCGCCTCCAAACATACAGAAAATGACGAGATAGCCGAGGAGAGTTTTTCTGCACCTACTGCCGATAAAACGTCCTCTGAAGAAATCATATCCTAGACTGAAAAAATGAAAAAACACGTACAGGCCGATCACACTTGTTCAAAAGTAGACCAAAAGGGTGATTTTTCACAGATGGCATTTCAGATAAAAAGCACAACTCCTTTGATTGTAAAATTGACTAATAATAATAACTACTTGCTTCACTTCATCGAACCGACTTGAATCTGACGCGTCGACAAGGAAAAGAACTGAGATGAGTGTAATCAAAATAGAATACCTGCATCAACTTCACACAAAAATCGTTTCCATAATATTCGAAAAGACTACGATCAAAGAAATCACGAAAGCTCACTTCCTGTCCCCCGATATCATACGCCTTAAACGAAATACCGTTAAAGGTAAACGATTCTTCGTTTACATGCTACAAATAAACTGCAATTCCCGAAACACACCAAAGAAGGAGCCATTTGAATGATCTTATTGTTCTGAATTCTATACAGCATTGTTGTCTTTCCCGCATTATCCAAGCCTATAATAAACATCCCACATTTTTCTCACCGATTACGGCGATAGTAACATGCTTCGAATAGAGTCCAAAGTACTGCAAAAACGCGTAGAGCGTTTGCGAGAGCGTGTTTCCCATCCTTAAAAAAGCAAGTGATTACAACAAAGAACACGTCATCACACGATGTGTAGACTAAAAGTAGTCAGACTATTTTATAAAGCGGTCAAAAATTCACAGTTTGCGACGGTCCCTGCAGATGCACCACCCTTCCATTGACCGGGCATTGGCTCAAATAATCCGCGATCATCGCATCACTCCACTCCGAGACCCCGAAGACGACCACCGAATACCCCATCCTTTGTCGCGAAAACTCGGCGAACACGATGTGAATGCCGTACAAAAAATCGACCAGCTCGCTCAGCGGAACTTCCTGCGCGAAGCCTTCGATCACCCAGCGACGCAGCCCCTGCAGGGGCCGAGAAGGGAGCGAAAGCCTCCACGCGAAGTCGTTCTGCCAGCGCGGCGCGGCGCTGGCGGGATGGAAATTGCCGAGAGCGAGGGGCTCGGAGGTGGAGCTGGCGATGGAGGAGGAGGGCTGAAAGGAGGGCTGGGCGCGAGGGACGTCGGGGTAGAAAGGAGGGCACAGCGAGCTGGAGGAGGGCTGGGAGATGGGTCGAGAGGGAGGGAGGAGGTCGAAGGATTGGGAGGCTGGGGGAGGAAAAGAGGAGTAGGATTGGGAGGGCATAGAAGTATACGAGTCAGAGATAGGGTCATGAGATGGCGGAAAAGGGTCGTAGGCTTGCGGTATGGGGTCAAAGGACGAAGGACGCGTGGCGTAGTGCACGAGCCGGCCTTCCGAGCGATTGCCTGGCCGCTGGAGAAACGACGACCCATCGATCGGCGCCTCCCTCGCCCCAACCCCCGAGCTCCTGCGAGGATTCGGCCCAACGCCTCCCGTTCTCGACTCCTTCGCACTGCTATTCCCGCTGCTGTTTCCGTTCCCGTTCCCGTTCCCATTTCCATTTCCGTTTCCGTTTCCATTTCCATTGCTGTTCCCGCTGGACACGATCTGAGAACCCGCAGAGAAGGAGTAGAACGCCTCGCTCGGCGTGGCGGGCTGCGCCGAAGAGCCGTGTCTGTAAGGGATCGGCTGGGCGGAGCAGGCGGGCAGGGGCGCGGCGGGGCGCGGCGTAGCGCTGCGGAGAGGCGGATCCCTGCTGGGATAGCCGGAGAAACGGTCCGAGCTTGAGGGAATCCGCTCGCTGATGTGAACGGGGTCTGGCTTCATGGGGTGCAGCTCAAAGTCACGACTGTAGTTGCTGGCCTTGTGAATCACGAGCTCGTGGAGCTTGCTGAACTGGACTTCGAAGGCGTAGCGACGGCCGTTGAAGAGAAAGGCCGTGTTCTCCAAATCATTTCTGGCCTCCGTGTAATTGTAGAGGTGAGAGTATTGAACGAGGGCCTGAGGGCCAGCATCATGAACGAACATGCGTATGCGTGAAACGATCCCAAACTGACTACACGCCTAATGAAAACCTGTTTGAGCAAAATACCGAATAAAACTGTCGTAAGGATATAGACGACCTATCAGAAGAAATGATGGAGATTAAAAGGACACTCTTGGGAGATGTTATCTCGTTTTGTCGAATCAACTCGTTGTAGCGAGAAAATTCAAGTTCAACTATATTCCCAAAAATAACTAGTTTATTCTTTGTGTAAAATCTCTTCACTTTAATAGCGTCTTCTAAAGATAACATTTCAATGAGTGCCTGTATGTAAATTTGAGGTTATAACCCACCTGATTATTTGGACGAAGTATGAACACTTGTTTCACAATACAGACTTTACTAATTTCATCGAATATGTCAAACTAGGGAGATAAGTGGAAAATTTCGAATTATACGCGAGAAATATTATGGGTTATGTTGGTAGCATGCAAAACTTTCGAAACGAAGACATTTGACATTCTCTACAGCTCATGGAAGGCACGTTCGGCAGACTTTGTAAATTTAAGAAAACGCCGAGTAGATATATATATTCTAAAACGTATTAACAGGAAAAATCACGAATAAACAAATTTGGTATTCACGTAAAATAAAATAGTGGAAACATTTATTCTACATTTGACGATTTTCCATTTCTTTCGCTTCTCTATTCAATCCCTGTTAGACGTTATGGGATATTGTGTAGAAATAAGTATGATTCACCAGGGTACTATCTTGAACATATATATATTACTACGACTAAATCGCGCAATGACTTCTACGGAAAGGTCGCTTCATAGCGCAATGGACTCCTTGTTCTAAAGGCCAGGAAGACAGTATAACGGTTATACTTCCATTTTGGCCGTAACACAGAATTGCGGGAATAGGTGTACAGAGCCAAGGTTTTTTTCACTCTATACTTTTGTCAATAGGTCATGTTTAGAGCGCTTGCTAGAACTGCTCCGATGGTTAGAACAGCCATTTCCATGAGATACTTTGCATCTCAGGAAAGACTTGGATTTTACTCTTCATTTATAGACATTCCTTCCCGTTGAAGAGGTTACATCGCGGATGTTAGATGTTGTGAAGAAATTCGATGCGGTTGACGCAACTCGTGTAGGCACTTTGAATAGTCATGTTCATCATTCTAGGTCACTCCAACTGCTCATTTCCAGAATGATTTAAAGCTAGATTCGCTTAATGTGGTGGAGTTGATCATGGCGATTGAAGATGAGTTTGCTCTTGAAATTGCAGATGACGTCGCCGAAAAGATTCACACTGTCGGAGATGCTATCAAGTTTGTGAGCGAACACCCTTTCTCCAAGTAATTTCCTTCAATAGGAACTGATGTTTATTATAATGGCAATCGGCTTGTTTGTTGCTGTCAAATACGAATTGTTTGATCCTTAGGTTTTGTATTTTCATGGTCGAACTGTCTCGCCAGACTCTTTTTCTGTGCTCTCTCGTCCTCATCTATATATTTTTAAATACATGTCGTCGTTTGCTCGTGGCTACGGCGCCATCTCTAATTTCTGAAAACAAACTCACCCAAAATGGCTACGGATTTCTGTCATCTCTGTCCTCAGTCGAATTTGGAGTTTGCCGCTTTCTTGCCTATCAAGTCCTGGATCATGTTCCCATTGATAAATATATGTGCTTCTTCTCCGTTTTATCATGTGTTGTCTGTGGCGTGATGAGTATCGTATCCCCTGACAATCTGCAAGTGGACCCACAGTTATTCTATTGTGTTTGCTTCGGTATATTGTTTATCTGTCTGGGACTTCCGTTTCCGTGCTCATCAATGGTCGTTCGGCAGTACATCGCTCCAACCTGTGGAATTTTTAACATTCTTTTGTGATATTCAGATCGCAATTTCATCTGGTCGTTGATAGCAATCAGCTCGTGCGTGGGTTCGATCGTGGCTACGAATCTTGCCTACTTTGTTCCAAATCGTTCCAGGTTTTTCCAGCTGGTCGTTCAATTTGGGCTTGGCTGCACCGTCTTCTTCTATGTGTTCTTCCCCGCAACTCGCTATCAGAAGGAGGAAAAGGAAGCGAAGGAGCCGCAGGCAAGCTCTCTCTCGCGCACTCGCGAGTTTTTATGCATTCTCTTCTGCATCCTCACCTATTTCTTTGTCTTCTCCGCTCTTTTCGCTGAGAAATAGACCTATTTCACACGTCGAATGATCGCCGAGTGGATTTCCATTTACACCCGAACCCTCTTTGATGTCCCTAGCGATCGCATCCAATCCATGTACACACTCAGCAACAGCCTCTTCGAGGCTGCGAGCGTCGTTTCTCTCCTCGTCTTCGGATCACTTCGCTTCCACAATCTAGCGATCGTTATGGCGGTTTATCTCACCATCGCCACGCTGTTTGTCGCACTCCCCATGACCAAACAGCCGATGGTTTATTACGCGAGTTCTCTCTTAACGGGATTCTTCTTGTCGGTGCCGTACGCCTCTCTGGAGCTGGTTCTCATGGATGTGTGCACATCCTTCAATCTGAATCGAGTCCTCAGCATCGTGAGTTTGTGTGGACAGGTCGCTGCTGCATTGGCTGGATATCCAACCAGTCTCTTCTTTTCGCATCTCTGCTCTTTTGAGTATGCACCTCTCGTGCAAACGGCCGTGTTGGCGGTTGCCTGTTGCTGCATTTGGATGGTAGTTGTGCTTAAGAATGACAAAACCGACAAGGGTAAAGAAAAGGAAGAATGAATTGTTTGTTGAAAAAGTCTTGATTTTGTCACTTTTCTTATTCAAATAGTTCATATGCCCGGTACATTGCAGTTGAATATTGGGTGAGCTCTAGGTCTTGTTGGAGATACAGCAGATACAGTTTACACGATTTCAAAAGATGTTGAGGTTGTACCGACTTTCGATGCGATGGGATTGAACCCGGATTTGTTGCGAGGCATTTATGCATACGGTAAGGGGTGGTTGGTGAAAGCTTGTTTCTTACGTGTTTGTAGGTTTCGAAAAGCCCTCGGCCATTCAGCAGCGTGCGATTCTCCCCATTATCAAAGGCAGAGACGTTATCGCTCAATCCCAGTCAGGAACGGGAAAGACCGGTGTGTTCTGCATCGGAGTGCTTCAGAACATCGACCCCTCTCTCATGGAGACGCAGGCCCTCATTTTATCGCCCACGCGCGAGTTGGCTGAGCAATCACAGAAAGTGCTGCTTTCGATCGGAGATTGCATGAAAGTGCAGTGCCACGCATGCGTTGGAGGCAAGAGTCTGAGCGATGACATCCGTCGTCTCGATTACGGTGTCCAGGTGGTGTCCGGCACTCCGGGCCGTGTCTACGATATGATCAACCGTCGTCACCTGCGAACGCGCAATATCAAGATCCTGGTGATCGACGAAGGCGATGAGATGCTGAATCAGGGCTTCAAGGAGCAGCTGTACGATATCTACCGCTATCTGCCTCCAGCAACGCAAGTGGTGCTTGTTTCTGCGACGATGCCGAAGGAGGTGCTGGACATGACGAGCAAGTTCATGAACGAGCCTGTGAAAATCCTTGTGAAGCGCGATGAGCTGACGCTGGAGGGCATCAAGCAGTTCTTCGTGGCGGTGGAGCGCGAGGAGTGGAAGTTCGACACGCTGTGCGACCTGTACAACAACCTGACCATCACGCAGGCCGTCATCTTCTGCAACACGCGGCGCAAAGTGGAGTGGCTGGCGGCGAAGCTGCGCGAGGCGAACTTCACGGTGAGCTCGATGCACGGAGACATGCCGCAGAAGGAACGCGATCGCATTATGGAGGAGTTCCGAGCCGGAAATAGCCGAGTGCTGATCGCTACCGACGTGTGGGGACGAGGACTGGATGTGCAGCAGGTGTCGCTGGTGATTAATTACGATCTGCCGAATAGTCGAGAGCTGTATATTCATCGGATTGGACGATCCGGACGATTCGGAAGGAAGGGCGTCGGAATCAACTTTGTCACGAATGAGGATATCAGCGTTCTGAGAGATATCGAGCAGTACTACAGCACGCAGATCGATGAAATGCCTATGAACATTAACGATTTAATCTGGGATGTTTGTTGGAATCGGTGGAAAAACAAAATCACTAGGTCGGTTATAAATGTGACTGGACTCAAATCCTCATAGTCTTGGCTTCTCGATTTGCTTCCTCCTAAATACGACCCCACCATTCACACTCTTTTCGAACAAACAACAATGCTACCAAACCGCTAGTCATTTAGAAAGTGGGGTAGGAAGCGGCCATGTTAATACCGCAGATACCCTCTCCCTGATCTCTATGAGCGATCTTCACGTATCCCTTATCACCCCAAGAAGCACCCCAAGAGTTCTTCACAATAATGTACTCCTTCGCATAACCGACGGCGAGCACTCCGTGGTTCAGAGAGGTTCCGCACATATCCGAGTCCAGAACACCTCCAGTGTACATCTGGAAGACGAAGGAATCGGCCTGAATAGCCACAGACACGGGGGCCTTGGTCAGAGCCTGCTTAAGAGCAACACCATCGTTGGCAGGAACATCCTCATATCCAGTGATAGAAATGACAGAGGTGCACTGGTCATCCTTGCAATCCTCGTCCTTAGCGTGGTAAGGATAGTCCTCCTCAGTGCACAGACCCTTCTTCATGACGTACTCGAAAGCGGTATCCATGAAACCACCTCCGCATCCAGCATCCTCAGTATCGCAATCCACAAGCTGCTGCTCAGACAGAGACACCAGCTTTCCGGTGGCAACGAAGTTTCCTCCCTCCAGAGCTCCGGTAGCAGAGAAAGCCCAGCAAGATCCGCAAGAACCCTGGTTCTTCACAGGGGTCACGGCTCCCTTTTCTCTCCAGTCGATGGACTCCACAGCCATGTTGTTAAGCACACGAGCCTGCTTGTGGTTCAAGGGCTTCTTCATGCATCCGCAGAGCTTCGAGGTAGCGAACTCCGTGTTGGTCATATCAGCGAAGGGAGTCATTCCCAGAGTGAAAGAGTGCTCGTCACTGTTGAACTTCTCGATCCAGTCCATGTTGTAGGCAAGCACCTTCTTGCGGTACTCTCTCTCAGAGCTGAGGTAGTTCTTTCCATACTTAGCTTCGAAAGTTTGGAAAAGCTTCTCATAGTAAGCATCCGAGTGAAGGTTCAGGCTCAGGGCCACAGCGAACAGAACAAAGAAAATAGATTTCATAGCTCACAAAGATATTTTGAAAATATGGACGGAAGGAACCGACCACTGAGATCATGAAACACTATTTTGGGAGCGAATAATATGAGACGACGTGTATTTGTTCATTGGATGAACCAATAATTGAATAAGGAATCCATCCTATTTCTGGAATGTCAAATTCTGGAATCCATTTTGATTTCCAGAAAAAGGGGCGATTTCTCTTTTCGGTTGATCTTTAGGAAAAAGGATGCCTGAGACTGAGATAAGTATATATGGGGGATTTCATAGGTCTCTTCTACAAATTATCATCGTAGTTTCCTTTGAAAGAGTGTTTCGTAGTCACAGCATGTGCTATCAAAGCAGCAACTTCAAGAAGAAATTATGCCTACGCTAAACAAGCAATTTGACGGTTTGTGAACTCTTTCAAATTGAAATTAGTTGTGTACGACCTCCAAGTCGTGGTCGAAGCAATAAATAAGAAGTTGAGAGATTTTTCCTTTTCCATTTCTGAAGTTACCTGTGATGATGGAGTTACGTACTATTGTTTCAACAACAAAGTATTGATTATTGGCATTCTGACAGAGAGGTTGCCGATTTAGCTTCCAGTCAATGTGCTTTGAGCAAAACTCATCTTCAAGTATTGCAATTGGCGATTCAGGCAATACAATCGTCTCGATATTCTCGCTGGTTTCATTCTTAGGCAAGAAAACATCTCTTATGATTCGGTTGTGAGTTCTGTGAAAAGCAATTTGTCCGGCGATGTTGTATCATCTCTAGTGTAATTCATAAAGGTTTAGGAAACAGATTCGATACTTGAGGAATTGCTCGAAGAGAAGTGGTTGCTGAAATACGTTGGCCATTCCATCGCTTGTCTTATGTTAAGGTTCTTCCGTCTGTTGTAACCGTAGTAGCAGGTCCTCGGTTACTAGTCGAGTTGAGCAGTTGGCTAGTGGATACACTGAAAGTACCTGAGTGCTCGGTTTGTATGGATCCTGTTGTTGGCGTTTTTATATTTGATTTCTTCTTCTTACATTCTAGGGAATCAATTGTCCACACAGTTGTGGAGCGGTTCTGCATCGTTCTTGCGCATATAAATTACTCCTGTCATCTCGTGTTAGTAGTGACTATGCGAAAGGAAAGTGTCCTGGCTGCAAGCAACCGTGGTTTGCAGATATCAATCAGTTTTCGGATTCTGGAAGGATCTATGTGGACAGTGTACTCTAACATCATCAAGAATCTTGTTTGTAAGCTTAGTTTAGTTTAGTTTAGTTTAGTTTAGATGAAATTGGTGATATGGTGATATAAAATAAACACAAAAGCCAACTGTTTGTTACAAACACATGAAGAATAGTTAATGGAATTCAAATACTGCAGAAGCTTATTCTTAATATCTTGCTTTCCATAAGGAGCATACCCACCCCAAGATCGATCAAAGCTATGGTTAAGAAAAAAGTCAAAAAGTCAACCAAAGCATGTTAAACTCGCTGAACGTATCGATGTAATTAAAAATGTCATTTACTCCATACTTTATTTGTTTCATGGTAGGATTCAGTCGCTTCAGTTCATTCTGAAACGTCTCAATTATGACTATATTGATATTCAGAGAGAGGATCTTTACATCGCATACATTGCGTTATCGATGGAAAATCGTAGTAAGACCTAGTATCCACTCCTCTTCTTTGACATAACAGAATGGTATGTCTTTTAGGTTCTTGCTACATGGTTAGCACAAAAGAACAATAGTCAATACATTATTGGACATTTGATAAAATAATAGATGTTACTATAACCGCGATTTTGTTATTGTTAAAATGTATTATCTACTAATTGAATCAAATAATAATATGCAGAAGGAAGGAGATACGACCTCTTCCATCTGAAATTGGAAGAAGTGTTATAAACCAAGTGTTAGGAATTTTGTGTAGAACACTCTAATGATTTATACACAGTTTTATTAATAATTCGTTGCTGAGTAGACTGCTTGATGTATTCTGTGTGTGTAAAATAAGCATTTTCACATTGTGAAATACCCTTCATCTAGATTGTGGTAGAATCAAATTTTAAAAATAGTTTCAATATAATTCACGCGTTAAATCTGATGTTCGAGTCAAATGACCTAACCTAACTCTAATTTTAAAATATCCTTATATCTTTCATTAAATATGTGATCTGATCACTAGAAAAAAGCAAATCGAACTGACAATCTGTCAAGTGCCTATTTCTCACTGTTTCAATAATAGTATTCATAAAACCATCTTCATAGCTTTTATAAATAATGTCAAATTGTTCTTCCAACCATATCCAATACCAATTTACCAACCTATTCAAACATCAACATGTAAATACCAAAATACCCAAAATACTGTACAGCAATTTACGATCCTATTCAAACGCAAATCAACTGTAAAGCACATCGTAGTTAAAAGTAGAGAAAGATAATAAATCCCGCTAAATAAATCCCTAATAAATTCGACAGATCTCTATGAAGATAGGATAATGTACTGGGATTATACTGAATCGACAGTAGGAGGTATATTCCCGCGGAATATAAAAGCACGCCAAATACGGTAATCATAAATTAATGTCGAATAGTGTCCTGGGAATTGATTTTGGAACATCCTTTTCCTCTGTGGCCATTCTGTTTAAAGGAGAGATAAAGGTTGTTCATGATGAAAACGGAAGTACCTATATTCCGTCAGTTGTTTGTTTCCGTGAGAAGGAGAAGGTGGGAGCGGCCGCCGAGCATTTCAAAAAGAAATACCCCAAAAACACCATTTACGAAATCAAGCGTATTGTTGGTTGCCGATACGATGATGCGATTGTTTCTCGGATGCAGAAGATTTGGCCTTTTTCTGTTGTTGAAGGAATGGAACATCGCGTGCAAGTGGAGTTTTATGTGAACGATAAACGTCGACGTTACTACCCTGAGTATGTGATCTCGAAAGTTTTGAAATATCTGGTTGGGCTGGCGGAGAATGTGACTGGAGAGAAGTACTCCAAGGCTGTGATTACCGTTCCTGCTAACTTTAATGACACACAGCGAAAGTGTATTCGGGTAGCTGCTCGTTTTGCCAATCTCGAGGTGCTACGTATCATGGACGAGCCTGTCGCTGCAGCTGTTGCTATTTCGATTCAGACGAACATCGACAATAGCCGTGTATTAGTTTATGATCTTGGAGGAGGTACTTTCGATTTCACCATTCTGGAAGTGACAGTAAATGACTACCGTGTAAAGGCTACCGACGGAGATCCCTGCCTGGGCGGAGCGGATTTCACCAATGCCTTGATGGCGCTGTCTCGCCAGAAGATCATCCAAGACGAGGGCGTGGACAGCAACGAGAACCCGCGTCTCGAAGTGGAGCTTCGCAGCGTCTGCGAGACGATCAAGCAGGAGCTCACCTCTCTGGAGCAAGCCCAGATGGACATCGACCTGTCGCGCTACGGAGGGTCGATGTGCTACACGCTGACGATCAGTCGCTCCGAGTTCGAGAGCGTGATCGTGGGGCAGATCAAGCGCTCCGTCGACATCGTCGAGAACTGCATGAAGACCTACGACGTGGACATTTCGTCCGTCTCGGGCATCGCTCTGGTCGGCGGCTCCTCCTGCATCCCGCTCATCCGCAAGGAGCTCAACGAGCGCTTCCCCACGCTCCGCATCCTCTCCGGCTTCGACTCACGCGAAGTCGTCTGTCGCGGCGCGCTCGTCCAGGCGCTCTCCCTCATCGACGAGCCCGACCTCGTCTCCCCGACGCCCGCCGTGGTCTCTCCCAAGACCCAGCCCGACATCGCCTCCTCCACCCCCGTTTCCACCATCGAAACGCCCTCCCTCGTCCGCCCCTCCGCCTATCGCGAGAATCTCAACCGTAACGCGCGTCCGGAGGAGCTGCTCCCCTCCGCCTCCGCCTCCTCGCTCTCCACGCCGCAGTCCGTGTCGCCCTCCGCGGTCCCGTCGCTCAGCTCGCCCCAGCGGATCTCGCTCTCCTCGTCGCAGCGTCTCTCCGGATCGTCCACGCTCGAGGTCAAGCCCATCAGTCTCCAGCCCGTCCCTCTCTCCCTCCCCAAGCGTCCTTCTACGCCCTCTCTCTCCTCGCCCTCTCTCGCACCCGTTCCTGCGCCCATTCCCGCACCAATTCCCGCACCGATTCCCGCACCAATTCCCGCACCAATTCCCGCACCAGTTGCTGCACCGACACACGACTTCGGGAAGGTGCATATCCATCCAACGACGCCTCTGGACCTTGGAATCCGCGTGCAGGGCAAGTACATGAGCGTGATTATTCCGCGGAACACGCCGCTGCCGACCTCGATGTCGAAGACGTACCAGACGAACGAGGACCATCCGGACTGCGTGCACTGCTGCATGTACCAGGGCAACCACGAGCTGGTGGCGAACGATGTGAAGATCGGGATCATCAAGGCGAAGGACATTCCGGTGTACCCCAACGTGCGCAGCCTGATCTCCATCACGTTTTCGATCGATATCAATGGAGTTTTTTCTGTGTCTGCGTCGGTTGTGGGCTCCGAAATGCCGGTGACAATCGAGATGCTGGACTCGGTTCTGTTGACAGACAAGATGATCGACAATATTATAGATGAGGACAAGCGAGAGAAGGAGGAGATTATAAAGGAAATGAGGGAGGATTTGATCAGCGAAATCGAGTTGAGGCTTCAGGACTTGGAGAACAGCGATAACTATCGGATGATCGCGTTGGTGGCTCGCGAGCGAGATTGGCTGAACGAGAATATGTATACTGGCAGTGTGGAGGAGCTGCAGCAGTGTTTGGATAGGTTGAAATAAAGATTGTGTCGTGTTTGTTCGAACAAGGACGCGAAGAGCTTTCGTTCTTCATATGGTCTTTGAAGCACTTCGCGATCTCCATCATGTCCACGCGGTCCTTGAACAAAATCGTTTTCAGCTTCGCGTCGCAGAGGATCTCGCGCCGATTCGCCGGGTTCTGGAGATTCTTCTCGTGGATATAACTCCACACCAGGCGCGTGTACTAGAACTCAACCCCTGCCTGCGCAGAAACTTGCGTCCGACTGCACATATCGCTCCCGCAGAACGAAGAAAGCGCTTCATCGACAGGGAATTCCTTCTGATACCCGGTCTTTTCTACCCATCAGCACTCTTCCCAATCCCTTCTCTTCTCTTCATTCCCACTTCCACTCCCATTTGACTTTGGCTTTGACTTTGCTTTGGATTTTGCTTTTGAATTGGACTTCGATTTGGACTCTGCCTGGGCCTTCTCTTTCTTCTCCACTTCTACCTCCACCACGCCGTCTTCCTCCATATGGCGCGGAAGGGATTTCTACTCGCCACCTTCTCCCGCACACTACCATAATATCCACCGATTTCATTTCGTCCGTCCCAAACACAGCCTTCATCGCGGCGTCATTCACGATGCATTTCCTCTCCGCATTTTGCAGCTGATGCTCCCGAATGTACTGCCAAATCTTCTTCAGGCAGTCGCTTCGCGTGCAGTGCGTACAACCAATCACCGCCTGCAACTCCGGAGACACTTTGTACGATTTCCGCGTGGTCACCACGGTGCCTACCATCGAATTCCAGCTTCGATCGGACCTGCCGCCGTTTGCCTGCTTTTCTGCTTGGACGGAAGCGGATCTCCGGGCGCCGAGTGCTCCTTGATGATGCTCTGAAGTGAAGGAAGCAAGCAAGCAGAAAAGAAAAGAAGGATATATAGACTTCATTCTTTTTGAGTTCCGTTTTGTGGGTGAGCTAGCGTGAACACAACCAACCAACCAAGCTGTACTTTCTGGAGGGTCTCGTCACACTTCACCGTATTCTCTGAGAGCAGGTCGTGCGTGTAAATGTATTTCCACAGTCGCTTATTCATCTGCTTTGAGATCTCGCCAAAATAGCATACTTGGTAGCGGAATTGTTCCTCTTTGCCGACGATCACAGCAAGGTCCGCATCCGGCACATAGCCCTGCCTTTCTGTTTGGCTATCATCCGTCTCTGGCGGAACCGTCGCTGCGTTTTCGGTCTGACTGGCGGAAGCAGTCTGGGCAAAAAGCAGGTCTACTTCCCGCTTTTCCTCCTCGCCAAGAGAATAGCTCTCCTCTGTCTTCGATCCTTCGAGTAAACAAGAAAACTAATGAAAAACTGTCGTCTGAGCCACCTCGATGTAGCTCATCAGTATTCGATGTGTGATTGTCTGGCGGGGTCTACTAATCAACACCATGCACTTCAATACTTGTTCTTTTGCCTTTTGACTATTAGAAATAACGTTACTTAGCAGGAGAAAATCGTTGATCGCTACTTTGATTTCTCCTTTTCGATCTGCAAGGCTTTGCGTCAGATCCGTCCGAAAGTCATACCTTATTCCGTGCTTTTGCTCCAACTGATTCTGGACGGATTTTCTCGTCAAGACGGTCAGATCGCTGTTTTGCAGGATCTCAAATATCTCTTTCTTCAGCTGGTTCTTGGAAAGGCCTAACCCTCAAAACTACTCCTCGGACTCACTCATGGAAAGAGGAAAGTGTGAAATCAAACAAACAAACAGGCAAATCACATCGACATTACTATTACTATTACGTTAAATTTGTCATTTAGTGCTTCTTGGTAATGTAGTTGGGCTTGGTCATCTTCTCAGGGACCAGCAGCTCCTCGACCTCCTGCTTGGTGCAGAAGCCCTGCTCCACCAGCACGTCCTTCACAGACTTTCCAGTCTGGTTGGCGATCTTGGCGGCAGTCGAGCACTTCTTGTAGCCAATGTAGGGCAGCAGACCGGTGACAATACCGATGGAGTTGTTCAGCAGCTTCTCGCACTGAGCCTTATCAGCAGTAATGCCATCGACGCAGAGAGTGCGCAGAGTCTTGGTGGCGCGAGTGAACATGTTGATGTTGTTGAACAGGTTGTAGATGAGCACGGGCTCCATCACGTTCAGCTCCAGCTGACCAGCCTCCGAGGCGAGTCCGCAGGTCAGATCACCTCCGATGATCTGGAAGCAGGTCTGGTTCACCACTTCGGGAATCACAGGGTTCACCTTGCCGGGCATGATCGAGCTACCAGGAGCGCGAGGAGGCAGGTTGATCTCATGGAGACCGCAGCGAGGTCCAGAAGCCAGCAGACGCAGATCGTTGCAGATCTGGGACAGCTTCACGGCGCAGCGGCGGAGCACTCCAGAGAAGTAGAGCATACCGGAGGTGTTGGAGGAAGCGTTGATCAGATCGGGAGCAATCTGAATATCGAAACCGGTGATCTCACGCAGAGCCTTCACAGCGGCAGCAGAGTAGTCGGGGTGAGCAGCAGTTCCGGTACCAATGGCAGTACCTCCGAGGTTCACAGTCAGGAACACCTTGGCGGCCTCCTTGACCAGATCCACATCCTCCTGAAGGGTGGTGGAGTAGGCATGGAACTCCTGTCCCAGAGTCATGGGCACTCCATCCTGAAGCTGGGTACGACCCATCTTCATCACGTCCTTGAACTCCTCAGCCTTCTTGGCGAAGGAATCGACCAGGAGCTGCATCTGCTCCACCATGGCGAAGTGGTCCAGATACATACCCAGCTTAGCAGAGCTAGGATAGGTATCGTTCGTGGACTGGCACTTGTTCACGATATCGTTGGGGCTGATGAACTCGTAGTCTCCACGAGGATGACCCATGATCTCCAGAGCGCGGTTGGTGATCACCTCGTTGGTGTTCATGTTGGTAGAAGTACCAGCACCTCCCTGAATCATATCCACGATGAACTCAGAGTTCCACTTTCCAGAAATGACTTCATCGCAAGCCTGCTTGACGGCGTTGGCCTTGTCATCAGGAACGAGACCGAGGCGGTTGTTGGCGGTGATGGCAGCCTTCTTCACCATACCGTAAGCCTTGATGTAGTTGGGGAAGTCATAAAGTCTCTTTCCCGTAATATCGTAGCTCAGGTAACCACGCATGGTCTGGACTCCGTAGTAGTGGTCAGCAGGGACCTGGAGCTCTCCGAGCAAATCGGACTCAGTACGAGTAGCAGCTCCACGGAGGAAGATACGAGAGGCAGCAGCAGCTTTAGGCGCAGAACGAATGAGAGCGGACATTTTCAAGATAAGGGCAAAGAAAAAATATGATTTTCAATAAGATCAGAGAAACAATCATTTGCTGACTGGGGAAACTGGGGAAATGGGGAAATATAGAAAAAAAGAAATGATTTCCTTCTTTTGAACAGTTTAAGTGAGTGTGAATGCTACAGAATGGATATATCTTGAGATACACAAAGGCAAAAGAAAACATAGAAGTGTGATGTGTCAGTTTAACTCTGCTTACATGTTTCTTGCGATTGCTGAATTAGGAATACTTGCATTTATTGACAAATTATCCTATGTGATGTTAGTTGTTAGGAGCTAAAGTAAATTGGAAAAATAGTCAATTAATCTAGAAGATACAAAGAAGAGGAGTAAAGAAAAATAGAATTCGAACAAATTGTCATATTAGAAACACACCCCACCCCATTATTGTAGGTACAAGTTGCATAAAACAAACTAAGATATTTAGAACAAAAATAGAAATAATGCAAGTTTGACAACATTCTCCCTATTTCCAGAAAATGGCGCTATTTTCTAAAAAGGAAAGAAAAACCTATTTGAAAGTCTAAGAGAAGTACCGTATATATATTTTATCTTGCTATTACCAACGAAGATGAAATTCGATAATCTCTGCGGACATACAGATGGAATCAACTGTCTAACATATTGGAATACCGTCGCAGCATCAGGAAGTGATGACCATACGGTGAGGCTTTGGGACTTGAAGAATAAGAGCTCCATTGCTGTTCTTGATGGATTCTTTGAAAAGAGAATCACTGCGTTGTGTCACAATCCGCGTATGACAAGACAATTATTTGTGGCATGCGGGAACAAGATTTTAGAGTTTGACGTGCGCAATACTTCAGGAGTCGTCAGTGTTATGGAATCCGTATTATATCTATTCTGATGTACATCATAGGAGTCAGACAGTGTGTCCACAGTTATTAACGACATGTGCATAGATCCAGAAGGATACATCTTAGGGTCGTGCAACAGTGCTGGGTGCGTTTGCGTGTCCGAATTAACAATTAGGAACATCGACATATACAATGTTTATACACGAGAGACAAAGCGAATCATGAATCTCGATCGCACTGTGAGCACTTTGTCCTTTTACCGCCAAGGCAAAAAGTACGCGTGTCATTCTCCTTCAAAAATAGCGTTTCCCTGTTCGCTACGGGAGATCTGACCACCGTCTATAACTAGTACGTGCTAATTCTCATCTCATAAAATAGCTCGATGACCGGCGAGCTGCTTCACCAATCGACACTCCCCGTTCTACCTGACATCGAAGCCAGCGACATCGAGACGCCTGTCGTGAAGGACATCTGCATGAATTATGATGGTAGGCGTGATCGAAGCGTCCGATGCAGATTCCATGCTGTACGTTGGCTGCCAAGATGGATCTCTCCGTTGCATTAACCCCAAAGGGAAGGACACAGAGCTGGAAAACTACATTATATGCAAACCACATCAAGACTGTGTAAAGAAAATCACATGTGGGAAGAATATCGAGGGGTCGATTCTCCTGTTTACCGTTGGAAACGACAGCCGAATGTCTGTCTGCAGCAAAACAGCGACTGGCCGGCGCTTTGATCAGCAATTGCATGTGAAGCTTCGTTATGTGCCCAACAGTCTATGCTTTGTGGATACACTGAATGAAAACATGGTCCTCAGTTGTAGCAACAGTAACTATTTGTTAATGATATCTGATATTGCGTAATTTATTTTCTAGTACATGTTTGTTGAAATACAAGGTGAGATTGTAACAGTGTCATTCTCATAACAGTAAAAATAACTAATCAGAGGGATGTGAATAAAGCAAAATAGTCCGAGCTGCCGGAATCGAACCAGCGACCCTTAGATTGCTGCGAAGCAGCCACTACAGTCTAACGCTCTACCAACTGAGCTAAGCTCGGTCTGAATTGGTTCTAATCATATGATATATACATATAATATTACTAGTGAAGATAAGAAATATCCTGCGAAAAAACAATGAATTGAAAGGAATTTGATGTTTTCTTTAGGAATAATGGAGAAGAGAGATATTGAGTATAGAATATATTCATTGAAATGAAAAGGAATATGGATAATAGGCTAATGAGACGTTCTAATTAAATGACTTTGAATTATAAGTAGTATTTCAAAGATGACTTAGATCATTTTACACAGGTATTGAAGACACAAACTACATTACTATTTCACTTAGTAATGATAATTAGAACGTATTCTGAATGTTTCTTCGATAGATCCTCACACAACTTCGATTTATGTCACACATGTTGAGAATACTATGAAATATGTATATATTTTACTATACTTGTTTATGCAGGGTGTTCCCCAAGCACATAATTACTGTTTGATATAATATCTTGTACTTCAAATAGCAAAAAAGTGGGGTTTGTACAAAGTACAATGTGAAATATACATAATAAAGGCACTATGCGTAAAAACAGAAAGCAAACAGTAACGCGAGAGTTCTAATAGCAATGATGAATACATTTATATTTAGCGCAACAGTTATTTGACTTAAAGCATTACATTAAAAATGCAAAATAAAAAAGTGAACTAGTATAACAAGATCTTGTTTAACATGATTCAGTTTTCCATACTATTATTCATTATGATGAAAAAGACATTTGATTTGATTATTTCTGCTGATGACATTTATCGTGTTGATAGTTCCATCATCCAAAATATGCATGGATGTTGGAATAAGCAAATAACAGTAAAAGGTTTCATTGCTAACATTGATTTATTCGATTTCTTGCGAGTCAGTGTATCTATTTCTTCTTGAACTTTTGCAGTCAATAATTAGAAGTATAACAAATACTACTCAATTTTATTATATCAAGTTGTTCTATCAAAGAGAAAAACGACTACCCATTGTATTATAATCAGCATTAGAGGCTTTTTTCCATCATATTATTAATGAAAAAGCCAATACATAGATATAACTTTTATTATAATACGTACACCTGCATTTCCAACTCCAAAATCGACTTTATCTTTGTACAAGTCACACTACCAACACCAATCATTCTTTCATTTCCTGTGTTTTTTCTTTCCAACAAACACTTCAGTATTCATATTGTTGTTATACGATGATTATTACTACGACTACACCTTCCTTCCTTTTTCATTATTCCTTCCCTGTTCCTTCGCTCGCTCGCTCGTTCGCTTGCTTAAGCGGACACATCAAAGTCCATGATGACATCGTCGAGCGCGAGGTTCTGTCCGGGCTTGAAGTAGACCTTCTTGACGACGCAGGCCTTCTGCGCGTAGAGCTCGTTCTGCATCTTCATGGCCTCGACGACGGCGAGAGGCTGTCCGGCCTCGACGCGATCGCCCTCCTTGACGTGGACCTTGACGAGGGATCCGGCCATGGGGGAGGCGAGGAACTTGCTGGTGTCGGGCTGCACCTTGGGGATCATGAACTTGCTCAGCTCCTGGGCGCGCGCGCTGCGGAGCACCACGTCGAAGTTTCCTCCGCAGTACTGCATGCTGTATCCCTCGGTGGTGGGCTCGAAGTACTGCACCTTCACGTCCACGCCGTCCACCTTCGCGCTCACGATCGGACGGTCGCTCTCCAGACCCGCGTCCTCCACCTTCACCTTCTTTCCGTCGATCTCCAGCGTCATCGCCTCGCCCTCGAACTCCATGTGCACCTTGTACTCCTTCTCGCCCACCGTCGCCACCAGGTCCTTCTCACACACCGGCTCGTACGACTCCATCTGCTGGTCGTTCGTCGCCTCCTTCGCCAGACGCTCCTGGTGCACCGCGATCGTCGCCGCGATCAGCTGCTCCGCCTCCGTCTCCGTCAGGTGCGAGCCCGTCCAGCCGTCGGGGTACTCCTCCTTGATGAAGTTCGTCGTGATCTTCCCCGAGCCGAAGCGCTTCGACCGGATCACGTCCTGCAGGAACGCAGAGTTGTGGTTCAGGCCGCGGATGATGTACGTGTTCAGCGCCTCGTCCATGCGCTTGATCGCCGTCGCGCGGTCGTCGCCCCACGTCACCAGCTTGCAGATCATCGGGTCGTAGTACATCGAGATCTGCGATCCGTCCAGGATGCCCGAATCGCATCGCACGAACTCGCCGCGCGGCTCGATGTACTTCGTCAGCAGACCCAGCGACGGCAGGAAGTTCCGGCGCGGGTCCTCCGCGTACACGCGCGCCTCGATCGCGTGCGCGTACCGCTTCAGCGGCCAGTTGATCAGACGGTCCGGCAGCTTGCGGCCCGCGGCGATCCAGAACATCTGCTCCACGATATCCTCGCGCGTCACCATCTCCGTGATCGGGTGCTCCACCTGCAGACGCGTGTTCATCTCCAGGAAGTAGAAGTTCTTGTGCTTGTCGCACAGGAACTCCACCGTTCCCGCGGAGCAGTAGTTCACCGCCTTCGCCATCATGCACGCCTGCTTGCCCATCGCCGTGCGCGTCTCCTCGTCCAGCAGCACCGACGGAGACTCCTCGATCACCTTCTGGTTGCGACGCTGGATCGAGCACTCGCGCTCGGGGAACGCGCAGTAGTTACCGAACTTGTCGCCCAGCACCTGGATCTCGATGTGGCGCGGCTCCTCGATGTACTTCTCGATGAACATGCGGTCATCGCCGAACGCAGACTTCGCCTCCTGCTTCGACAGGTGGAATCCAGACAGCGCCTCCTTGTCGTTCCAAGCGATACGCATTCCCTTGCCACCGCCTCCAGCCGACGCCTTGATCATCACAGGGTAACCAATGTCGTTCGCAATGCGCAGAACCTCCTCGTCCGAGTTGATTTCGCCGTTGAAACCAGGAATCGTGTTCACCTTCGCCTTCACGGCCAGGATCTTCGAACCGATCTTATCTCCCATCGCCTCAATCGCATATTTGCCAGGACCGCACCAGATAATTCCCTCCTTCTCCAGAGTCTCCGCGAAACGCCAGTTCTCAGAAAGGAAACCATAACCAGGGTGCACAGCGTCAGCTCCAGTCTTACGGCAAGCCTCAACGATCTTATCGGCCACCAAGTAACTCTGAGCAGACGGAGAAGGACCAATGTAAACAGCCTCATCGGCCATCTTCACGTGCTTGGCGTTGCGATCAGCGTCCGAGTACACAGCCACCGTCTTGATACCCATGCGCTTAGCGGTCTTGAACACACGGCAAGCAATCTCTCCACGGTTAGCTACCAGGATCTTCTTGAACGGAAGCTCGCCTACGCACTCACTCCACCTCAAAATTCCCTACCTTCAGTCGCAAAACTTCTGGCAAGTTTAGAAACCTAGACTCTCACAAAACGTCACCAAACCCCTACACCACGAATTCCAGAGAAGGAACGTCCGAACATTTTGTTCTCTACCTTGAACGAAATGAATCTCTGAGTTTATTCACCAACTGGAGAAATAGGGAATCATTTGGGCGTTTCATCGCTTTCCACCATTCTCAATTTACACTATTCGCCATTCCAACAAACACCAATTATTAGTTATCGCACAGCTCTACTTGATTTGTGTTTGGATAATATGTTACAAAATAGCCTTCGCTGAAAGTCCCGGGAAACACGACTTTACAACCACTCTCTTCAATAATGGATTGCTCGGAGGATGTTGAAAGAAGTAACTAGGGTGAAATCGAAGCAAATAAGAGAAACAAGGTGAGGGAGTGGAAAGAGACGTAGAAAAGGAGAAAGTGAGTGGAGAATCGGTCCTGAAGGAATAAGGTGACGTTGAGAAAGAACGGTTTTTGCGAGTTGTTGAACTAAGTGGTGGTCTTGAGAAGTGAGGTTATTGATGGATTCTCTTGTTATATGACTTAAGTCGTCTCGCAACACACACAATTCTTTCCTTCCTAGACGAATTCGGCTTGGATTGCTTGTGAAATGAATATTTTCTGGATGTTCGTGGAATACTTCTTGAATTGGGTGTGAAAAGAACTGAGGAATCTACAGCATTGAATCTGCAAAGTGCGTTGTACTGGTTCTCTTGGAAACAGCCCATTCGCCCCTACATCGCGCGTGCCTGGAACAAAAATGAAGTGTGCGTGTTCCACGAGGCGAGGAAACGATGCGATTAGTTCTGCTAGGGATGTAAACAGACGGAGGAGTCTGCGAATTCCCGCGGAATCCACGGAGAAGTTGGAGGACACGAAATCCCCGCAGAATAGAAAGGAAGGCGGCAACGAATCGTCCGCGTGTTTGGTGAAGAGTTCTTTGAGCCGATCGAAGACATCCGATCGATCCAGAAACACATCGGAGAGGATGAGAAGGGATGGAGATTCGATTCGTTTTTCGATGGATGATTCATTCCCGCGGTTATTTCTATTCTCTTTTTCCACTCCATTCCCCATTTCAATTTCCATTCGATGCTCCATTTCATTGTCATTGTCATTGTCATTGTCATTGTCATTGTCATTTTCACGCTCGTGGAGTCGCGTCACGCTCACTGCGCGCGGTTCTATCGGCGGTTGTTCCATCGACTAGATTTCACTTCGCGTTTGCATCTACTTCCACGCAAAACACAGAGCCGTTCATGATTCCCTCCGCCATCACAAACATTCCCTCCCCAAAAAAACCATCGCCGAAACTCTACAGAGAAACGCAGAAGGGCTCGCTACTGTCTGGGAGAGGTCCAGCGGAATGCTGGTGTTCAGCTCGTTCAAAACGTAGTGTGTTGGATTGAGAGGATTGCGAGATAACACTCCAAACAGGCGAACGAAGTCCTGCGTCAGGGAAGAGTCGCCTCGAATGCTGTCGAAGCTGCTCAGCTCGATGGAGCGGGACTTGTTATGGAGAATCAGATACTTCATCAAAGAATATCTAGGCGTAATGGGTAACACAAAACCTATACTCTTCGCGATAGGACTGGACTCGTAATGAGGGGTCGTAGAGATAATTTGAATCGTTGCACTTGGTGGAAAAATGATATCCGGAGTCGAAATGAAGTAAGGGAGTATCGAAAGCTCCATAAACAGTGACAATTTGCGTCTTCTTTGGAGTGCTTTCCGACTTGTTTAGTATGCTGTCGATCGTTTCTGCAGTTACCACACTTCCTATCAAATTACCGTATTTGCTGCACACAATACCATTTTTACATATCTTTGCAATTTCACTACTCAAATAATTCAATTCTCTTTCCACATCGCCACTTCTAAGCAATCATGCTCCAAAATCAATTTTAACGATTCTAATCTTGATCGAATTGACTTTAGTGCATCTTTCCGAAGAGAGAGTCCCAGAACCCGAAACTTGCGTATAATCTACGTCAAATCCCTTCTCGAATTCAAACATCACGATCCATCTCTTTACAACAAACACAAGATATAAAAACAAACCAAAACTAATCCAACTTTGTCGGAAACACAGTATGCGTCAGAAGGGACTGAATAATTCCAGAAATCGTTATCACGCCTCCAACAATCGAGCACAGCGTCGTATAATACTGCAAGAACCCAATTCGACTTTCCCGTTTTGTCAAGCGAATCGGTGTGATTTGGTACTTAAAATACACGCCAGGCGATGTACGACTGAAGTAAGATGGCTTATCGAGCAGCTGCGTGTACTCCGTGACGCTGTATTCATAGCTACGCGATGTACCTCCGAAAAGCGAGATTTGCTCCACAGGGATCAATTTCAGGAAGTATGTGATGTGGTTGAAATCTGCGTTCATGTTCTTTTGGTAGTTGTCGAGAGTGTTTTCGTTGTAGTTTGTATCGCCGAAGGAAAGAGTCGAGATAATGTGCGAGCAATTGAAAGCAGAAAGGTCTTCATGATCGAAAAAGTGAGAATGCTAGCTTGTGATAGTGTGGAAATGCATACACTTTGAGGGAAGAAACGACTTGTCAATCCAACATGGAAATTACCCTCTCCCTACAAATTGAGGGCCCTGAGAAACTATTACTGGATAGAGATTGAAAGTGGAGACGACTCTGCATCCAGCGGCGCTGGAATCGCGAGAAATTGGTGTTTTCGTAGTCTTTGTGACAAATCGGGAGATAAACGTACTTCGATATCTGTAGGCTGCTTAGACTTTGTAGCTTCAAAATGGAGATCGAAAGCTGACAAATCAATGAAAACATAACAAACTAACAATCACAAGATAGTTGCAGGAAAGACATATCGAGCTTGGTAGGAATTGCATTCTCCAACTGAGATTCTACGTTCAGTGTAGTAACTGTTTTAGGAACGAGGAAGGAGTACGTCTGCATCGATATTAGTACCACAGTTATGATAAGAGATATAATGGATACTACAGATTATGCAGGAATCACGCAAATCACTTAAACCCCCGACAGATGTTTTTACTTGCAGGCCATCAATTGCCTTCCGATATAAATCGTATCTCTTGATTCCAGAACCCATGGAAAGAGAAACTATGAAAATGGTGTTGAAAAGAAGTCGATTTTTGGATTTATTTGAATGAAACAAACATGGATTAACGAGTCTTTTCTTATTGACAACATACAATTCACTCTCAGGAAATGAAAACAACACACATAGATTATTGGCATATTTTCACTAAGAATACAATACAAATTTATGATATTGCAGCATTTTCGCTCTCCTTATTTTCTATGACACAGGCAGTTGTTTGATGGGAATAGATTCTTAGCTCCATTTCAACCATTGCTAGTGTTGCCTTCTTTTACAGTCTCAATTTTGTGATTGAAAGAAATCTCCATCTAAACAATAATCCCTTCGAGTATAGTCTTGCATGAAGATATATAGTTAAAGTCTATGTTTGTCGTCTATTCCTAGTTTGCCTAGCATATAGGGAAAACCTTATTAATAATAAATTCTTTTTCTACTATCCATTTCAAGCAATAATAATAATAAGCCATGTGATTTGGCTCTTTGAATACCATTTTTGTGTCTCCTTTTCAAATTCCCTCTAAGGCTTTAATATTCACCTTTTTATTCAAGACTTAAAATAGAAAATGAATCTCAGATTATCCAAATTGCAAGAACAAACTACCCTTGTAATTCTGCCCCTATTCCTCTTCAACTGTTATTTTCCCCATTATCAGAACGATATAAATAGACTCCTATAAAAATAAGCGAGCTATTCTCTTTAAGAATGATGAAAAAGCAAACAATAACGAATCTCTTATCTCGTTTTGGAGCATTGTTCTAATTGAGCATGGTTTTAAAGGCCATTTTTCTTCTAACTCTTATTTGTGTGTGTTGCTGTGACTTTGCTCCATGTATTGCATCTCTATGTTGTATAGTATAGTAAAAAAGGGAGGTGGAGGCCATAGTGGAGGTGGCAGTCATGGAGGAGGTGGCAGACATGGTGGAAGTGGCAGACGCACTTGGAGAAGTCCTTTTCACAGTTATTATTATCATCCGCCTCAACATTTCTTCTATCGGCACAAATATACGCAAGGTTTGTTTTATATTTCATATTTTAAATAGTCTGTGGATCGTATAACCTTTTAACCTATTTGTCAGGAACAAGTTTGTTTAACGATTTTCCTTCAGATCTTAGATGTCACTCATATTCTTGATATTCAGGGATATAAAGGAAACACTCCTGACGTTCTCAAGATTAGTGATGTCTATTACATGAACAACACTAGTCCGGAATCAACCTATTTTGTATATTATGATTTAAATATTGAAAAAACGATTTCAGTATTTCATGATATCAGTATCTCCTCTCATTTCGATTTCACTTAGATTCCTTTCATGCAAATCTCACTTGCCAACCATCAACACCCATGGTAGTAGTTTCTTCTGCATTCGCCTCTTACTTCTCTTGTGTTACCCAGCCTGAAGTGAACGTTGCAGTGAACGCAAGGTTAGCACTCCAAACCTTTTTGATTCGTAGTGGCCTTTCCTGCAAAGACAAAAATGGAGCAAATCCTTTTGAAGCATACAGCTTCCAATCCCACTTGAATATTTCTCTGTCTACAACGAGTAAACGAACATCATGGATTGAATGTTTAGAAGACAGTGCTACGCTCAACTCCATCGTGTACCCATACATAAACAACAGAAGTGAGGGTTGTTGAAGGTCTTCAGTGTAGATTGCTTATCTCAAGAAGTCTGGCTTGTTAGTATCATCGCTATGGTGCTTGTTATCATTATCGGGATTTGTGCTGTGATTTGCTGCATTTGCAAGTCGAAGAAACGCGCAGAGAACAACGCGGAAGTGAATTCGGTTGTTACCAATCCATCTGTTGTCACCAATCCATCGATTGCACCAAACGCAATGAACGGACCAGCGGGAACTATACAGCCCGGCAGTAGTAAGCGATTGACAGAGAACTAAAGGATAGTTTTCCCTTCCTATGCGACACCCAATTCGAATGTTTATCAGCCATTGCTTTGAATTGTTTTCGTATCAAACACTCGATCAACTAAAACGATTCATCCTTTCCATTTGCGTTCTTTCCTTTCATCGCTTCGTCTGTGATTCGAATGCGACTGGAAACTTCGAGAATCGACATTGTCTAGAATCAGAAATAATCAAAACGATTTGCTACTTGAAGATAATACTTTATATTCGCTTCAAATGTCGCTACAAATCCTTCCTCGAATCGAGTTCCGCCATTTTCTTTCAGAAGAATCTCGTTTTCTGCCGATGTACAATACTTTTCGTACTCGTTAAACGACGCGATTTCATCACACGAATTCCAAATGTCTCGAATCGCTTCCGAAATCTCGTTTTGCTCTTCTCTTTCTGTTTCCCTGGATTCTTCCTCGTCTTGCTTCCCTTCCAGCTTCTTTATCAAATACTTTGTGAAGAGTTTGAATGGGAAATAGTCCAAACACAGCAAACAATACGCTGCGATCAGAGTGAACAAAAAGTTCATTCGATCATTGGGCAAGCAAAACTGAGTGTGTTTGCACGAATCTACATAGAAAAACAGAAAAGCAACAAACCATATTCAAACTTCAATACTCTCTTCGATTCTCTTTTCCCATCCCAATGATCTGAATAATATATAATATACGATTTCTCCTTGTGTTTCGAAAGATTAGCGACTACGTTCTTCAGGTTCCGATGGAAATCCACATTCCATTTACTGAGGATTCGTTTCATTAAACGGAGTGTACATGGATGAAGTACACGCATTTGCTGAAGAGAGTGCGAATCCTCCTCACTCAGCAATACGTCATACAACATTCGCTTAAATTGCCTATGATAACATTCAGTAAATAGAACTACAAAACATCAAAGTCTTGGAACTCTGAACAACAAAAACCGATTTCAAGCAAGAAAAGGGCGTCGATTCGTTGTTTCATCATTATGGAACACTCGTTAAACATATAGATATTGTACTCCTCGAGAAGAGAAAGCGGCATTCCATTCATTTGCTGAATCTCCCGCATGTCTTCAAGTGTCAAATCGTTGAGAGACTTTGATTGCAATTCTTTTTTCCGCATTTCTTGATAACTACTTCCATTCCTATCGTTTTCATTCTTTGGTGGATCAGAATTGTTTCCAAGAAGATGTTCATTAAGAGCTCGTTATAGAGTTTTTCAAAGCTTTATGAAGAGAATGAGCTCTGATTCGTCGTAGAAAATATCTTTCGCAAGACAGGTATTTTGCCCGTTCCACGCCATCATACTTCTCTACAAACACGATATCAGTAGGGTCCTTTTGGATAATGATATTAATCACTTCTAGCATCTAGTAATTACTTCAGAAAATAATACACACTCCAGAAATCAGCAAAGAAGGGGTCAGCTCTGATTGTTCCCCATAAAGCTGCATTATGATTTCTTTGTACATCTGATAAAGAATATCTTGCTGGATCTCCCCATCTGACAGGAGTTGACGAATTTTGTCAATAAAGGTCTTTACAAACTCATCCGACTGACCATCCGTTTCCCCTATCTCAATATTCGAATCTTCTGGAAGAACTAGATCCGCCATTTCATGTTCCTCTTCACTACTCTCTGCAACGAGTTCAGCACTCATTTCGTGAAGATCTCTCTTCATACTACCCTCTAGTGTCGACTGCGTTTCGAACAAAACAGATAATACGATAAAAGCTAATGAACTGATTCCTCATCCGTCACCTCTAAATGGACCTCCTCCCCCAGTTCTTGACTAGACGATTCTCCAAGCAACGCTTTGGTTGCTTCCTCCTGTCTCTGTTTCCTATTCACATCTAATCGCTCGAGCGTATAGCTCAAGGAACCTCCCACCACAAGCAAAATACCGAAAAACCCTTTCAGTGTGATGGTGGTATGATAAAAATAAGCCCCCATGAACGTCTTCCCTGAAGCCCATCATGCATGTCTACCTGAATGCAGTTCTTCATCACTCCGGAAATATTATGCGACAAACTGCTCGTGTATTGGATCTGCAGATACGTCGTGATGCCCACCATCAGTCCGATGATTCCAGCTACATCCCAGCCACGCTTCTCTCCTACACACGAAGATCCAGAAGAAAAACGAGAACGTCAGCTCGCTGCGATGCTCCCAGACGACGGGCACTTCGCCGAACGCCTACTTCGAAGCACACAGCGGAGCGTACCACGCAGAGCGCAGGGAGAATCACACAGCTGTTGAAGTTCGTGTAGAACGTGAGCAGCCAGCTGTTGTCCACCACGTTCGATAGATAACGCTTCAGGTAGATCGTGTAGAAGGTTCCGACCGCGCTGGCGCCAACGCCGAAGAGCGTGCCGCGGAGAGAGAAATTGATCTCGCCATCGACACCTGCGGTGTAGCTGGGTGGAAGGGGAGATAGAGGACTACCCAATTACGACGGTGATGCAGGAGAGGACGGTTCGGAGAGAGGACTTCTCGCCAAAAAGAAGGTAGCTGGAAATGACAGCGAAAATACTTAGAAAAACTTGATTAAAGGAATCATGGGAATTCCAAGAGAACGAGAAATCTGGTAAAAAGAAACTTCCACGTATTTGAGACAGAGATTACTCATTGTCACCATCAAACAGAACAGAATGGACAACGGAAATACCCTCCTTGCCAGCGAAGGGGAAAAACTAGAAAATGAAGCGAGTTTGGCAAACTCACTGGATATCGGGAAACCCAGATGATAGTCGCAACTTTTTGTTGACCTTCGAGAAAGAATAGAGTGTAGCTGTAGGCGCAATAAATTGTACGAACGTGATAAAATAGGGAGCATCAAAACTCTTCTTTAAATTTGTGTATACAAATCTATAAAATAATGAAGAAAGATACAACACAGAATTACTTGTTCATGAAGATCGCTGCCCACGAAGTACACCAATACAAAGCGATTACTCCTACGACCTTGTAGAGTGGAACTTGCTTTTCTGGCATGATAGAAACGAGTTAATATTTGGAAACAAAAATACAATACATTCTACTCAATAGATCCCATATTAAAAAAGTGCTTTTTCTTTAGAATCGTAACTTATCTGAGGTTTTAAACGAATCTGGGGAAAGTATGAAGAGAGATTTTACTCATTAGATAGAAATGCCCGTGACTTCTGATCCCGCAAACATGGAGATTGAATCACTCAAAGTTAGGTACCCAGACGAGTGTTGCATTTTAAAAAACGAAAATGGCATGAAAGTGATCACCATGTTGATTCCTACGGATTTTACTCGTAAATCACAAGTATACACAAAACTAAAAATCAGCATACCTTCCAAATATCCATATGTCAAGTTTCTTTTACCATTTCTGATTGTTCTCTAGACCCATTATTGAAATATTGGATTCATCTGGAATTACGCCAGATAACGTACTAGTGCGATAACGAGCTTTATTGTAGGTAAAAGAGCTGAATGAACTAATTGAGAAGAAGTGTACAGAATTGTTGGCAAATAAAGACATTAATCTATCTGATATTATCACGATTGTTCAAAAGTATCTCCAAACACATAACAAGGAGGAAGTATCGGTTCTCAAACTTGTGTTAAACTCTAGAGTGACATAGCGAAGACGGTAAACGAAAGTCCTTTGCTGCGAATTGACAGCAATTATTCCAGTGGCGACAGGGATCACTACAATTCGCCAGAGGCTCTGCGTGATGTTTTTTCTTCACGATCCGCGATCACTATTAGGATTTTGACTTCATTCGAGAACCCAAATTACAGTACCACAATTCCGGATGTTTTTCTCTTACTCTTTTCTTGACTCTTAGGGTTTTTCGGTTCTTCAACGAAGCGAAACAACAAAAACGAAGACATGACCGATATGCGAACGTGCCGCGTTACTCAGAATCCTTCCCATTCTTTCTCACCCCCGAATAAAATCGAAGAGCAGATTCCCGAGATGACATCCGAGGAATTGACGAGCGGACAGACTGTAAAATTGCGCGATCGCGATGTTTTGTAGTCTGCAATGGGTCGATTCAAGACGGATTTCGTCGTTATAAAAGAGATCGGACACGGCGGATTCGGTCGAATTACGCTGTGCACACACCTACTGGATGGAATGGAATACGCCGTAGGGATTGAAAGCGATGTGTGTCGCAGATTAAGGAGATCAATCTGGAAGACAACAGGCAGGAGTATCAGAAAATCTTGCGCGAAGTGAAGCTGCTGGCGCTGCTGAAGACGAACTACACGGTTCGTTATTACAGCGTTGGAAAGAGAGGAGCGTTGAATTGTAGTGCTGGACCGAGCGGAATGAATGCGTGGAAGCGGAGAATCTGGGTCATACCGACCCGAATGAACTGGAAGAGGAGGAAGAAGAAGAAGATCTGATCGATGAAACGACGATGACTTGGGGAAAGGAATCGTTTCGGTTGAGTAAAATGCGGAACAAGGGGGTGAAGGAGTACAATGAGCTGCATCCGCTGGTTTTTGATTCTGTGAGAAAGGAGGGAGCGATTGAGGAATAGAATCCGATGCAGATCGAGTTTCGGGGCAATGATCGGTTGAATCAAATCGCAGAAGATGCGTTTGATTTTGGACCTGAATCTGAATCTAGATTAGAATCAGAATCAGAATCAGAATCAGAATCTGTATCGTATGAGAAATCGAAATCGAATCGTTTTGGTGAAACATCGGATTCTGATTCTGATTCTGATTCTAATCCAGATTCAGATTATTATTCCTCCTATTCAGATGAATCTTTGAGTTCAACAAGTTCTGACAGCAATTCTTCCCCTTCTTCCACTGCGAATTCTTCCTCAGCAATCGTTCAACAATCGAATCGATTTTCGGCTTTGGAACTCTCTGATTCTCTTTCAATTCCAACTCGCAGTACAACCGCTGGATTATCGCCTCAAGCCAATTGCGACCAATCCGATACTCACATGTCTGTCAAGCTCTACATCCAGATGGAATACTATAAGAACGGCACATTGGATGACTTGATTCAGAGTGGAAAGGTTTCTATTGTCTGGATTTCGACTGAATCGTAGCTGTATCAGGATCTCAGTCGTATCTGGTCGATTCTATTCAACGTATTTTTCCATCATTTGTCTTAAAGAATAGCTTCTGAACGGTCTGAAAGAAGTGCATGCGTTGATCTTTTCATTTGCTTTTGATGTGTAGCAATGGAATTGTTCATCGCGATTTGAAGCCTTCCAATATCTTCTTTGACGATAATGGAGCGGCGCTGATCGGCGATTTTGGACTTGGCTATTTTGTAGGGAAGGAAGTCTCGACTTCGACGGATGGAATCGAAAACAATGAGAATTACACCACAGCGATCGGGACGATTTTGTACGCGCCTCCCGAGCAATTGGCGAACAATCAAAGCTTCAGTGCTCATTCCAATGTTAGCACGCGAATTACCACAAAGGTCGTTTTGATTGCGTGAATCGATTGGTAGTCAGACATGTTTTGTGTCGGTTTGATTCTCTACGAAATGCTCCTCCCTCCCATGCCGACTGCGTTAGAACGCTATAAGGTATTTCAGGAAGCTCGCGTATTGGCTGTTTCTGCGTTTGTTTCTCGTAGGCTGGACGTTTACGACCCGAAATCAAGAATTCTTACCAAGATATTATTCTGCATTGTTTAGAAGTACTCATTTCTTTTGCTGTTTCAAAGTAGGAAAATCCAAAGAACCGACCTTCCGCCCAAGAATTGATCGATATGATTCTCAGCGACGATTCGATCGTGAATAAGAAGAACTTAGACGAATTGATGTTGTGCTTGTCCAAACCGAACGTACTCTCAAGAAGGATTGGGTTGATCGTAGAATTCCGTTTTTATGACTGTTACAAACACGCTGATGGAGCGAGTAGAACAAATTCGAATTGATTGAGAATAGGATTTATTAGAGATGGAGTTAAGCCTTTTCTATCCTGAGTTGATCAACGGTAATCTGAATTCCAGTCATGTGTATGATTTGTTTTGTAAACGAACGGAGAAGGTATTATACTTTACTTTGCTTTACTTTCAAATAGTATTTCATTCGGAAAGAAGTGGAGAAATGTCTGGTCGATATTATTCGTCTGTTTGGATATTATCCTCTCGATTCTCCTCTTTTGCTTCCCAAATCGGATTATTTACGTTACCTGTTTCTTTTGCTTTTGTTTTGTTGATGGAATTTAGATATCCGAATGGCGTTTCCTTACTGAATAAAATTGGAACGCCTTGTTTGCTTCGCAGCGATCTACGAAGCAGCTTTCTCTCCTACTATTCTCGAATGATAAACACGCAAATCCGTCGATTTGAAATCGGTAGAGTTACACGTACAAAAAGCAGTGACGAACGAGATCTTGTGACGCAGCATGCATGCAGCATCGACAATATCTGGCTTCAACGGTATTCGTTCATTGCTCGTTTCACTTCAGACAAGATGATACCACATTGAGTGTGTTGTATTCTTGCGAAGCTGTGATGATGTGCTGCCATATTATAAACCTGTTTTCCCATTTATTGTCGCATACTTTGGTTCTGCATATTAATCATGTGGGAGTGGGGATTTTCTATGTGCTTCGATTGCGTAGATTATTTCGACGATTCTCGAAATCTACGGCTTCGTCAGCATGACATCAAAGAAACAAGCCATCGAAAAGTTACGAGGCGTCGTGGCCGTCCAACTGGCTTCCATGACGAATTCACATAGCAAGGGAATTTATGTTTTGATGATGCGTAGAGAATCTGGTTGAATCGACAAAAAGCAGCAGCACGATTATGTAGATTTGAAAGGGAAATGTGAGATAGAAACAAGCAAATCGCGGATATTCTGAATATCAAACAGGAGGAAGCGGCCTACGTGTATCCGTTCCTCGTCCTTCCGATCAAACCAAACGAATGGATGGTCGTAGGATTGCACATCCGATCGATTGATGGCTGTAGGATATGGAGAAGGCACTAACAGAACTGATTCAGTACAAGGGAGAAAACATGAAGCTGGACGATCAGTCGTTTTTGTGGAATTGTCTGGAGGAAATGAAGAGTTTTGTCGCGATGTTGAACCAGGTAAACTCGATCGATTGGCTTCATTCAAGTATTCATTTCTGGAAACAACAGATCGAATTGTGTTTGATACGCTTTTGCTGCCTCAAGGAAACGATCAGAATTATCACTTGTACTATGCCTGCATTTTCACCAGCCATTTGTCTCTTCAAATTGCCTCTTCGAGCAACAGCAAAGCGAAAAAGCAGGAAGGAACAAATCGTTTCGTTCTCCCCATTAAAAAGCCTCAAACGATCGATTTTGTTCTTCTTTATGTTGGGATCCCACAGTTTGCTTATCGATAGGGCGGTCGATTCGATCGTGAACTCTGCAAATACAAAGTGGGATCACTGAATCCATTTTTGCTTCCAAAGGATTCGTTGTATTCTGCTGGTGTGCGATTGGATTTGGATTGAATTCATAGGAATGTTCAACATTACTATTCCTCTCAATAATATCGTTTCGTTGCTCGTTCATCACCCGGATTATGTACCTTTTATTCGTTTGTTTCAAGGAAGAAAAAAGCGATTAAGAAGTTCTCCCCTCCATCCAACGACGTTTCGATTCTCGTTTTGCCGCCTATCGGATTCGCCAACTCTCTAGTCGATCTTCAAATCGCTGATATGTGCTGGAAAAACTCATTCAAAGTACGCTAAGCGTTGGGATCATCACGAGTGCACATGGTGGAACGCGACGCAGAACTCGAAGTCGCAGTCGTACATCGATTACTGTCAAGATCACCACATCAACTACATCATTCAGCACTCGGGATCGATCGAAGTCGCAGCGATTGACTCGCTGAATTGTAGAATGGGACGCTGTACAAAGTGGCGTTGCGAAAGAAAACGGCTGTCGGACCGATCAGAATACTGCTGAAGGCGATTTTCGACATGGAATCAAGCGGAGAAAACGAGGCTTCGACCTCTCGAAGTCGCAACTCGATCCATAAAATGTCGATGGACATGAATGCGAAGAAGGAAACGATGGTTCCGATGGTGGTCACGGGGGGATCGGATGGAGAAGGGAACAAAGCGATGAGTCAAGAAGATCAATTTGAGTTTATGAATGCAGAGACGCGGAATAAGAAGAACTGGGAAATGTCGGTGCGAGACAATATTCTGAAGTCGAATTTTGTGGGTGTTGCGTTTGTGAAGTGTAATCGTATAGAAAAACTCTGCTTATGTGATCATCGTGAAATCATCGATTTCGAAGGTACGCGAAATCGTGTCTCAGATTCTGTCGAACGAGAGCATAACGAATCATTTTAATCGGAAACTGGCCAAAGAGATTCAAGGCAAGATTCAGGAGAAAAAGAAGGACTGTATGATCTTTTATGCTCTGCAAGATTCCCAGTTTGACGTTTTGTTCTTGAATTCAATCCGGGATGTGAGTCAGATTGTATAGTAGTAGTTTTTAATGAGTGTGTTTGTTTGTTTGTTTGATTGCAGATATGATTTTGTGTTGTTATGGAGATGATAAGAATATGTACAGATGTGAGAAAGGTAAGTTCAAGGAAGGAACAAAACGATATGTTGACCAAGGCAGGAGCGATCATTTGCATAAATAATGATGACTTTTATAACACTATATTAACACACAATAATTGCAATAACAAAGATAGCTTACAAGGAATAAGAAAACAATGAAAGTACAAATATCCATAATAAAAATCCCATGGTAATATTCACTCTTCTGTGCTTATATAGATTATTAGAAAATAGAATAGGAATTGCCTCTTCTTCTCCATTTCTAACAAAATCGTTTTCCCACCTATCTATCTTGTAGAATACAGTTGACCCTATATACTACACGATTCTTAATATATAGTTATTCAAAAGAATCCATGATCCTCACACTTCTACAAATAACAGAACAAATATAGGAATTCCAAAAATATTATCCAAATCAACAGAACAGCTCGTTTTTTTCTATGCAGCCGATTCAAATTAATGGTGAAACAGTTAATGACGCGTACAGGCTCACTGGACATACTGGTGGCATTCGAGCCATGATTGGATGGAAACACTTCATAATAACGGGAAGTGACGACAATTCTATTAAAGTAGGCAATGCTATATTGAAAATAAATAGATATGGGCGGCATCAACGGGCAACTGTATCAAGACGTTAAAAGGTCATACCTCGCGTATTCTGTGCTTGACAATTTGGAACGGATATATTGTAAGCTCTGGAGCAGACTCCCAAATCAAAGTACTTGTTGAAACTGGATTTTGAGTAGATTTGGGATATCGTATCAGGAAAGTGCAAAAAGACACTGAAAGAGTGTACTAGTAGTGCGAATTCCTTAGCTTCAACTCCGGATTTGCTGTTTGCAGGAGGAAAAGACGGAGATATTTATGTTTCCACAGCTTTGAATTCTGATTGTTAGGTGTGGACATCCCGCTATCAGTTAAAGGGAAAATTAACGGGACATGGTGATTGGGTGAACAAGCTTCTTATTTACAATGAGAAATATCTGATTTCTTGTAGTGATGACAAAACGATCCGAGTAAGAATGGGAGTTATCGGCTAATATACGCAGATTTGGGATTTATCTACAGAAAAGTGTATTTCCACACTGAATAAGCATCAAAAGGGCGTGTGTTCTCTTTGTATCATGGGTTCGACTCTAATCAGCGGAGGAACCGATTTCTCAATAATTGTTTTGCTTGCTTTTTTCTTTTCTCACCCAAAGCTTTGGAATTTGCAAACAGGAGAGCCGATCACTTCATTGAAAGGACATTGCGACGTAGTGAGCAGTTTATGCGTTTATCAAAACCACTATTTGATAAGCACTGATTTAAGCTCGTTGGTCATGGTATAATCAATGAACCAAATCGAAAATAGGTCTGGGATTTGAAGAACAAATATCGAATTCTCTACGAATTGACGCTCCACGGCGCCGAAGTGTACGATTCGATGATCTTTGAAGACCGATTATTCACCTGCTCGAAGGACGGATCCGTCGTGGTTTGGTTTGGCCGCTCGATTGCACTCTAGAAATGGCCAGCGATGCAGAATTTCCCGGCTCTCTCGGCATTGCTCGCGAAATGCGTGGAGTCGAAGGAGAAAGCGAACAATGTGGATGAATATCTGCAGATCCAGAAGGGTATCAAAGCGAAATTGGATGAATCGCAGAGGAATTCATGGAGCTGCACGAAGAAAAGCAAATGCTACTCGTCGAGAAATCGATGATCGACCAGGTTTGATCGGGTTTTGATCGATCATCGCGTAGCAATTGGCGCTGGAGACGGAGCTTCGAAAGAATCTGCAGAAGGAGCTGCGTCATCGCTGCGAGGAGCTGAACGAGCTTCGAAAAGAAGCGATCGAGCTGCGCTCGGCCGCGTCGCAAACGCAGAAGCGAATGATCGAAGCGACGCGCGTTCTGTCTCCCTCGCTTCAGATTTCGCCGCACGAAGTCCGTTCTCTCCTTGTCTGCGACGTAGATTCGAAGAGAATTCGCTCGCTGTCGGCGGCAGAACGCGACGCTGTTCGAATCGGTCTGGCGCGACGCGCCGGTGGCGGTGAAGTCCATCCCAAGCAACCCGAAAGAGCTGGACACTCGCTATGACTGGCTGCAGCTCTGCGCGGTGTGGGCGAGCCTGCGCCATCCCAACATTCTCCCGGTCGTTCGCAGTCCTCTCTGCTGATCGGTAGCTCTACGGCGTGCAGTTCGAGTCCTTCCAGTCCGCCGCGTTGGTCATGGAGCTCTGTCCCGGATCGCTCGAGGACGCCGTGCGCTACGCCCAGCAGCGAGACTTCCCGCTGTCTCTCGCGACGAAGGTCGGCTGGCTGCTGCAGATCGCGCGAGCGATCGGGTTTTTGCATCACCAGGACCCGCCGATCGCTCACGGAGGCGTCTGCCCGTCGAACGTGCTGCTGACGGGCTCGCTGGTGCCGCGGTTGACGGACATCGGGGTGAGGTCGGTGGAGCGGGTGCTGTACGATCGGAGCTTTGAAGGGGAGTTTGTGGCGCCGGAGGAACGGGGGAAGGAGGCGACGAGCTCGGTGGCGGGGGATGTGTTCAGTCTGGGGAAGGTGATTCTTTATGTCGAGTCGAGAGAAGGGAGTGAGGAGTAGGTGATTCGGAATGGAGAAATGGGGAAGGATGCGGAGAAGGGGCTGAGCGATGTGCTGAAATTGATGATTCATCGGTATTGCAATGAAAACCCGAGTGTGGGAGAGAGGAGGAGGGATGAAGGGTAGAGTCGCCCGTCGATTGATGTTGTCGTGGAGGATTTGGAGCGTTGGAAGAGAAGTGTGAGTAAAGAAATCGCGTTAAGTGTGAATACCACTCCGAGCCTGATTTACAACAGGGAGAATGGGTGTTTTCTGTTCTAGTGCTTTTTTGTTTGTTCGTAATTAAAAGAAGATTACAATGGAATGAGAGTTTTATCGTCAGAGATGGATTAGGTATAAAAAAGGATTAAAAGAATGGTTTTATGACTGTGGACAGTATTTTAACCAAAGATCGATGGAGTTGAACAAAGCGAATTGAAGTCTTTGATGGTGGATTTTACTTTGAAATATAAACAGGATTATAATGAAGAGTATGATTCGGAAAAAAACAAGTCAAACTATACAGTGATTAATGATTTGGAACATAATACTTTGGGACGAAGGAAATGAGTTAGTATATTTACGTATTTCGATGCAAAACATTGCTGATTTTGCCAATTCTGCTATTAGCAACTATCATATTGATTGTTTAATCATTCAAAGCACACAACTCTGTTTAAATTAGAAATGGAAACCAAATGGCTGGATTTCACTCATATTGAGTAATAGAGAATGTGTAGTATTGCAATTCAATAATGGAGTATTCATGAATCAAGGACTTGTCCTCAATGAGCAGAAAGTCTTGAAAGTGTTTGGAAATCATCAAATTGGTCCTATTTCATATAATAAAGAACAATCCATAGAAGTAGTAGAAGGAATCGTGGATTTGGATCATGGAAGTCGATTTGAAGGATTGATATTGACAGAAAACAAGTTTGGAATTCCATTTGGATATGGTGAAATGTATGATGATGATGGAATAGTGGTGTACAAGGGCATAATGATCAATTGGAAACGATTTGGATATGGAACGAGTTATCATGATAATGGATGGATTGAATATGAAGGATATTGGTGTGATGATAATCGATTTGGAAGTGGAAAAGTGTATGATCGAAAAGGTATATTAGTGAAAGAATGTGAATGGTATAATGGTATTGAATGTGATATTGAATATGAAGGAGATGGAAGCGAGCCACTGAATATCGGAATCAAACATTTGAAACTGATTAGCAATTGTGTATTGGTTGATTGGGATGTTTCGTTATTGTATAATTTGGAATCAATCGAAATCGGCAATGAATGTTTTGAATCAGTGAAAACATTCCAAATCGATGGATTGAATCGATTGAAAACTATCAAAATCGGTAATAATTCATTTACTCTGAAGTCTTCTTTTTTGCTGATATATCGATATTTTTCCACATACTGAATTGTGAATCATTGGAATCCATTCAAATTGGTAAATATAGTTTCAGTCATTTTGCTGGAGACTTTGAATTGAAGAATCTACCACAATTACAATCCATTCAAATTGGGACAATTGGTAGTTATTCATGGAATTTCGATTATAGTTCATTTGTGATTCGAGGTATTGATATGATATTGAATATTTGAATGATGCATAGATCTTCCAAATCTACAATCCATTACATTAGGTGATTTAACATTCTAGGCTACCACACCAACAATAATTGAAAGTATTGAATAAATTCGAATGAAAGAATTGATGTAGATCTTCCATCATTACAATCCATTCAACTCGGTAATGAAGCACTTTATGGAAAAATGAGAACTAAGTCATGTTCATTGAAAATGAGAAGTCTTATATGATATGATTCGAAATGATTGAATGTAGATCTTCCAAAACTAATTCCCATTCTCAATTCTGGAGGACATAGTTTTTATTGCTATGGTTCAGTGACATTAGAAAGTGAGTTATTTCAATGATGTAAATTACATTCAGATATTCCCATTCTTCAATATATCGACCTACCCCATTCATTTAAGCGTGTTCAGTCAAAGTAAATTACGAGTATAATTTGATAGATTTGATACCATTCATAGACGTTTCTCCCATTCTCGTTGATGTAGTCTACTAAGCCATACGTTAGATCTCCAATGAATAGTTCATATTATTCTGTAGTCAAAGAGTGAGCCATATTATTTGTTTTGTGATCATTCGTTATATTTCCAAAAAGAAAACTCTGAAAACAATACATTGCATAATACAATATAAGCAAAATCATTGATATATCCTTCTTGCACGATGGTTGTACTTTCTATATCAAATGATTTGCAATACTATCAATAAAAATGACTATAGGAACTGGATCGTAATTTGACAATAGAAATTAATAAAGAGACATTCTTGATAATAAAACAATTTCCCTATATACTCATATTCTCCTTTACCCATTTCACATTTTAATTTCAATACAGAACACCGTTTGAAACGTGCATCGATATGCTTTTGATTACTGTTACGTATTTAATAGGACGCCTGATCACATCAGGGTGTGAACAAGAATCATGATAAACTCCCTATGAGCCGTGACTAAAACAGATATCACAAAGAAGAGTTAGACAATTATACTCTCGTACCAAAATCAAAAATAACCATTTTTGACACAGAAAGCTGACTTAATTGTATATGAACCAATAACCAAACCTGACAACAACAATATACTCCAAAACGATATTTTACAAAATATTAAATAAAACGATAAGAAACAATCAGCTTACCATCATTAGAATTCACAGAAATGTATGAAAACAAATTGAAACAGACAGCCAATCAGATTTAGAGCGAATTTTGATTGCAATCTCTTTTTGGCATACCAGTAATACTTCAAAATGAAACTCCCTCTGTCCATAACATTCACGTCGGAATTTGATTCTCGAATTTGATTAATAAATATCTATGCGCTTTTCATTATTCCATCATTTCAGTCGGTAGTGTATAACCCTCTTCCCTAAACAATCCAAGGGACTGCTATGCAAATTTCGGATTTGCTTCTCCAAACCATCCATTTGGAGATCAATCTTTGAGGCATTGTTTTTTAATTGAATTCTCAGTGTAAGTCTATTCTTTCCTATATGATTCTGTCTTGTGCTGGGGTTCTTGTGAAGGACCTCTTTGAGTATGATTGCTCGTTTTGATGTTTCGATGATGATGTTCGAAATGCTTACGAATTTGTAGTAACTAAGAATGGCTCGTACCAAACAAACTGCCCGTAAGAGTACAGGAGGAAAGGTTCCTCGTAAACAATTGGCAACGAAGGCTGCCCGCAAAAGCTCTCCTACTGCGGGAGCCGTGAAGAAGCCTCATCGATATCGTCCCGGAACGGTTGCTTTGCGTGAGATTCGCAAATATCAGAAGAGCACTGAGCTGCTCATTCGTAAGCTTCCTTTCCAGAGACTGGTGCGTGAAGTTGCACAGGATTTTAAGAACGATCTTCGTTTCCAGAGTTCAGCTGTGATGGCTCTTCAGGAGGCTGCTGAGGCTTATTTGGTTTCTCTGTTCGAAGATACGAATCTTTGCGCTATTCACGCGAAGCGTGTGACCATTATGCCAAGAGATATGCAGCTTGCTCGTCGTATTCGTAACGAGAAGTAATATGCGCTGCTATTGTTGTGTAGTATGTACTATGCTTCGTTGTTTGTGTTTATCAAACATGCGATTCTGTGTATGTGTATAGTACATTGGGAGTGTTAGTTTATTTGGCTTGTTATTCGATGTTGGAATCGAGGTATCGCAACCTAGATGAGCGATGGAGACACATTCACTAGCATTTTCATGAACTTGTTGCAACTAAATTCTATAGTGTGATGCAAATGAATTGTTTCCTCTGTCGAATTGCAACTCGTGAGTATAACGTTTTCGAATACATACCAATTTGTTATTCCATCGAAACAAACAAGGTAGTTGATATTACATTGTTGTGGATATCTCTTCGATTCCCTTACTCATTGCTTGACTATCAAGCCAATATTCTATGCATTAAGTCTTTTTAGGGTAACAAAGGAATACTTTATTCTTTCTACAGAAACATTCCTCCAGTCATAAGAAAGCGAGTTCTTACCAATCCATCCATATTGCAATAGATCATTGCTGTTTTACAAAAACAAAGCAGCTCTATCTATATCGCACATACTACACTATTCTCACCTGGTCATTAACAAGGATTCAAAGAGTTAATCCACTTATCTCTGCCAATTCAATAATACCAATTCTACTTAGTTCCCTTCTGTTGAACACCAAAAGTCTTTACACATTTCCATTACCTCAGTGTATTATCCTTCTCCCCTTTCTTCAATACACATACACCGATCATTTCCACTCACCACTTCATCATAATCCTTCATATTCTCAAGTGAATTATGCTGACCATCATATTCTTTGACAAGACATGGACGAACCAACGGTATTCGTATTCGATCCTCAACAAGAAGGAAACAGAGTCGTTACTTTCGTAAAATCCATTTGTTTTTCGGTGATTCGTTTAGAACGCAATATCAGAGTCCGTTGATACTCGTTTTGGCAATTCGAAAGCAATAAAAAATGAAGCAATAGATTCGTTCTTAAAGCATTCCCATCTTTGTCAAACTAGAGAGAATGGAAACCTTATGGATTCTCTTATTCAAAACCGACATGAACTGAATCGATTAGATGCAAAAATATTAAATTCATTTGAAAAGAATTCAGTTTGGAGGAAGTGTAGTATTCCTCACCTTTTTTGATTTTTAGTTTTGGATACTGAAGTAACAAAGCTTCGAAACCGCATTGAATCCATTTTGGAATCAATCTATTCCTTGGACGCCTCTTCTCCCTCTCTTCCGTTGCCAAAAGCACAGGAAAACTCTTCGGATACTACGACGACAGTCGATATTTTTGTGGATAACTCAAACACGGATCTCAACCAACTGCATAGCTTACTATTCTCTCTCTCCCAGGATTTGTTGTCTCTGGAGCTCCATTTCCTCTCTCTTTCCGATCCATCGGACCCAGTGCCCTGGAATAGTTCATCCCTCTCCGATCGCGTCGATACTCTTCACTCCGCTCTATCCAGTCTGTATGAAAAGACGGCTGTTATCTCTACCAGCATGCAGGTAGCGAACGAATCTTGTTGTATTGAATCCTAGCGCGTCACACAGATATTCCACACCATCTTCGCAGAATCACACACAACCCTTGACAAGATGAACAAATCGGTTTTGGAGACCCGCAAGGTGTATGAGCGAGTCGCTGAGGTTGAGCCTTTGCTGCAGCTGGCTCCCCTGTTGAAAGCTCGTCTTGATCATTTTGTCGAAACTAGCAAAAAGGTTTCTCAGGTGCAGAGCCGGCTGGACGAGCTGGCGCAAAAGCAGGAACTACTGGAGAAAAGGGTGGAAAAGACTGGGGAGATTTTGAAACGAGTAGGAATGAGTTCGTGATTTCATGTAGGTTCAAAAGCAAATGGAGCAAGACATGCCCAAACTAGTAGCTGTTTTAAACTCTGTAGAGTGACAGGTTTGTTGTGAACTACCACGTTGATTCCACTGGGTCTATTCAACAAACAGATAAACTAACAACGAAAACTCACAACGCAACTAGAAACGATTAGAACCTTTTCGAAATGATGAAAACGATCAAAACACGACAGTCCGACCGATCCCTCAAGTCAAATATCTAGGAAAGCCACAACCACGTTTCCACACATCAATTCAGGACGCAAACAGAAGACTTTCCAGAAAAGCCAGCCACACAACGAAAAGACACTTACCTAAAATCTACTCAGAAGGAACCTTGATTCCTTGTTGGATAATTCACCAATTCCTAGAAAAATGGCAAAACAGAGAATATACAATCATCACAATAAGAATGGATTAAGCAAGCCATTTCGACAGAATGCAATGAGTTGGAATAAAGCATTTCTCTCTCCAGAGCTCGCGAGCATTTCAACAAACATCCAAATCGTAAACTAAACAAATTACAATTCTCGTACAAAAAGAAACACGAAGAAAACTCGCTCCACTCACCAAAAGTAGTTAAAGCCAAGCTGTTTCGCAAAGTCCGACCCAAAATCCAGACATTTGCTGGCTTTCGCTTCATGCAGCAAGGTTTCAGAGCAACACTACACAACACCCAAATCCCTTCCTTACCTCCAACACATCTGTCGTGACTCCATTCTGAAGTACTTTCTTCCCTTGACACAGATAAACCTCTCGTGCAGAATCGCAAATCACCAGTGGCAGTAGTTTCTGGTAATAATAGTCTTCTTGCAACGCCTGCACAAGCTGCAATTCCTCCTCCGTCTTCTTCTCTTTCATCCCAATCACATCAGCCTGAAGGCGTAGCTGGTGAATCTCGACGCGGATATGTCCCCGCAGTTCGCTAGAATCGACCGATTCCATCTGCTCTACCTGTCCTTTTTCAAGTACTCTTCATAGCAATACTGCGTAAACGGAGTGTTTTGCAATACATACTAGCAATCAACCCGCAAAGCCAGCAATACAAGCAGCACGTTGATGTACTGATTGAAGATGAAGAGCTCGTGGAACTTCCGAAGCAATCTACGTCGCAGGGCTCTGCAATGAATACGCGTGCAGCACGTTGAATCGAGGATAAATGAAAGGCAGAGCGTACAGAAGATTCCAGAACAGCTCGTCGATATCGCGAACGATCGAGAAATTCTCCCCACTGCGACCTACACTCGACGATTCCGCTTTGCCCCACAGTAAAACCCGAGAAGGATGTAATAGATGATGTGGAGGAGGAACACGGGGAGCGCGCCCAAATGCAAATCGGATTCATCGCGGAGCGAATTCGGCCGACTCACATCGCCGAGTTGGAACGTGTTGATGAGATGGAAGCGTGCGTCCAGCGCGGAAACGAGCTGAACAGTGGAGGGGAGATGGCGATAGAGCTGCTTGATGAGGAACATCACGTAGATGGAGATGTTGGAGTAGAGCGAGGGTGCGAGCTCGGCGAATTCGTTGTCCATCTGCATCGAAAGAGAGTCGAAAGCGAACGTAGTCGTCCACCATGAAGCCAAACCGAACGTAATTGTCGGGAGCCACGGGGATTTCGGAGACGGAGATGAGGTAGAGAATTTGCTGGGGGAAGAGGAGGAAATAGAAGAAGAAACTTCGAGCAGTTGAAAGATGTAAGCGCTCGGTCGCGTTTTGAGAAACATCATAATGCAGTGAATGAGCTGTTCGTTTTGAAGCTCCTATGAGAGAGATGGAGGAGAGAGAAAAAGGCGAACTCGGATGAGCGTGATGTACTTTTCATTGTAGCTGTATTTGTGAAGCACATCGGAGAGAAGCATACAGAGCAGGTCGCTCGCTTCTGGATCGGTTTCCTTGCTTCTAGGAATGAGTGTTGGTCCGTTTCTCAACGTGATCACGATGATTATCGACGGGATTAGATGCAAATGGTGCAGCAACGCGATGTGTCTGCGAAGCACCGAAGGCGAAATCTACTCGGCATTCCGAGCCACATGGTACATTGTAGCTCTCTTTGAATTCGGAATCGCTGGGCGTTGTGGCCGAGGACTCTTCGTCTACGTTCATCTGAATAACGTTATCCAGTAAACTGGCGCGCTTCTCCGGATAGCTCAGCAATAAAACCAGGATGTCGTAAATCGCTCGGTTTTGAGCAACCATCGAGAGCATGGTGCGGATCTGAGTGAAAAGAAAGGGAAAGTAGAGAGTACATAGATGCTTTTGATGTATGGGAAAATCTGATCGGGAGTCATGATAAGGAGATATTTGATCAACAAACTAAGCTCGTAGATGTTGGCATCCTCGTTCGTGTTGTTGGTTAGAAAGACGGGAAATAGAATAGAGATGATATAATCCTTTGTTGCGTTCAATAAACTCCTCAAGTTCCCAACGTTCGACATAAGAAAGGACTAAAGAAACACGACGATCAACCTGAAATACGTTAATCTTTTCACAACGAGCATCTGTAAACTTTGAGTAATCTTCCGAGGTCGATCGTGCAGGGATGAAATCCTTTATCAAATACTCGAGCAAAATGTTCAAGTTTCGCTTCTGCAAAAGATTTATAGAAACAAGAAACTCTACCTGGCACAGAAAAGGAACCATGTTTTCAAAGAACTGAGGATTCTCCAATTGGAATATTCGGTTTATCATAGAATCCGCGTCGTAATTCAGCTATACGTAAGGATCGATTCTAAACCGATACAGACAAGTCAATCGCTTCTTTCTCACTCCCTGTTGAAACTTTCTTTTCCATTGTATTCTATAATATAACAAAAATCAAGATAGTGTTTGTACACGTTCAGAATCCTGAGTTGAGGAAGGAGTTTGTTTCTCTACTCCCTCTGACATCTAATCCTGAGAACCAATCTCCAATCAATCACAATGGAAACTCAGCCAAACAAAACAAATGGTAAGTAGTGAGAAAAAGAATCGAAAAATTGAGGACAGGGTGATTCGAACACCCAACCTTTTGATCTGGAATCAAACGCGCTACCGTTGCGCCATGCCCTCCTGATAGTTGTCTTTCGAATAGACTACTTGAGGAACTGGTATCGATCAGTTTGGTTGCTTGGTTTGCGATATGATATGAAAATGAACAGGTGGAGTGACCTATAACATTGTTTTGTATTGCTTGGAAATAATGCCTATCCCTGAAGTACTAAGTATTGGTGATGGTATGATAATAATAATGGTTGTTGAAGGCTATAATCACATAATAACCTTGTAAGAATTGGGAGTCGTTCGAACTGACTTGACAAGGAGTGTAGAATAAGAAAAGTGTCCATAGATACTAGCTATGAACAAGGTGTCATAACACAAAAATGGTTTCTCTCAACGAATCATCCCTCTAATACGAAGGTATGCCCATATTTAAATATTAGGGTCAACTCATGGCTCCACACATGGCATAATGTTTTCTCATACCCCAAACGAAGGAACTAACAGAAATGAAATCTTGCTTCTATGGCCAGATTTTGTTTGCAAGACACGCTAGCAACCATTATTCCAGTATAACAGTTGACTGTTATGGAGAATAAGACGGGAAAGCAAAATGCCGAACCGCGTTCAATGAGTTGCAATAATATTGAAATTATCTAGAGTAAATAATGGTGTGTTCGGCTTGGTTCGTATTATAGAATAGTAAATAGAGAGAATGGATATTTTATTTCGTCGATTGAACGATCCACTTCCAAAATGAATGGTGGTTGATCTCATCTATTTTTCGACCTTTACCTCGCTTTTTTGTTCTTATTCCGGAGGTTTTCTATTGTGACTCCATCGAATAGTGGGTGACTTTGTGACACTCTTAAACTAGAACAGCTAAACGATTCAAATTTGAAAAAGCAAATAACCGCGGGATGAGACATATTGCTGTTCGTCCAAGACCGCTTCAATTAAAAAAGCAAATACGAGTTTATCACCTAGCTGCTGATGGCTCCTTTATAAGCGAGAACGGAGATAGGGTGACAGCAAATCTATATGAACTAGAGGACTGTGTAGGTGGCATTCTCTCTACTTGCCTTTGCTTGTTACGCACCAGGGAACCGGTATTGCCGTCCCTCGTGTTTTGGATTGAATATTTTTTGAAGGAGAAAATGAGAGGCATTTTCCCGTTGACTTTTTTGATGACTTTTTGCTTACCCCTGATGTAGTCGCCCGAGAAAACATCCTTTATGAACAAGGCCCGGATTTCGATTCCGAAGCCCCCTATCCGAATGATTCCCAATTACGACTCGGAGGTATCTCATACCTTTAAGCGTTCCAACGGATATATCAAGTACATTCCGCCGACGGTCGAGGAGGAGAAGAACAAAGTGGAATACAACCTTGATTCTCACGATGAAGTGGGTTGTTTTGAGGGTGTGCTGACCCTGTAGCTGTGGTTACGGAGACACAAACTCTACGGTGAAAAGGCGCCGGAATCCAAGAAGCTTTCGCTGGACCTGTTCGAGCGAATGCTCGATTGTGCAGACAAGTATGCAGGCGAGTACAAGGCGGAGCCGACTGTCGTAGGCCGTCGTGCGAGACTGCTAATGGGATAGGACATTCTGGAATCATTGTTTCTCCAGAAGCTTCAGTTCAGTAGAGTGGATTCTCACGAAGTTTGCAAACACATCCTGGACTATTGGAAACGAAAGCGGAAAGAACTGGGCAAGCCGCTGCTTCGGCGCTACTGGCCGCTCACCAACGTCAACGATCCAAACCCCAATTTGGTGTTTCGTCCTCGCTGCAAGGTTAGGCTCTGTCCGATCCGCTGAGCACTAGGACGAGCACTACCGATTACGAAAGAAGAACAAGCCGAACGAAGAGATTTTGGAGCGTCTGATCGAACTGAAAGCGAACCTCGAGCACGGTCGCGAGCTCTGCGAATTGACGCACTCGCGCGAGCAGCTCAAGCTCAAGAAGCTGATGTACATCTACGAGACCGTTGTGGAAGTGCACTATCTGAAGATGAACCACTCGGGTCGTCGTCCGCTCACCTACAACGTGGGTCGTTTTTCCTCCTGCTCACGCGCAGCTGAAAGACATGTTCGTCTACGAGGGCCGCACGAGCTCCATTCTCTCCACCACGTCCTCGGCGAACGCGTACAGCACGTTCAACCCCATGATCAGCCACTCCTTCGGCGAGAACTACTTCGGAGGCGTCGGGATGATGGACGAGCCCGACGAGCTCGCCTCGCTCAGCTCCACTGCGCAGCCCCGCCTCTCTCCGGACGAGCTGCAGTACCTCCAGCTGCTCTCTGCCTTGCAGCAGGACACGCGCGAGGAGCCTTCCTACGAGACGCCCGCGCTGATTGTGAACCGCGCGGGCTCGACGGAGACGTCGGGGACGAACTGGCTGTTGCCGGTGGCGGCGAAGGACAACTACGAGCATTTCTACACGAGCACGCTCAACACGCATTCCTTCCTCGCCTTCCCCGCGTCGCAGCCCCTGCAAACGCGTCTGTAGGAGTCTGGAGGATGAGTGACGTTTAGACGAGGCCGCGTAGGGCGTGGCCAACGCATTCTGCTGGATCGCGTGCGCGAGCCCAAGCCGCTCTACGGCGATGCGTCCCACGAAATCTACCGATCCTCTCTGCCCGTAGCGGCGGTGCGGAAGCACTTCGCGGCTCGGAGGAGGGAGGAAGGGGCGGCGGCGAGCGCGGTGCAGGGAGTAGCGCTGCCTGGGATCGCGCTGCCTTCGCAGAACGTGGCGTATGGGGGACTGGCTCCGTTTGGTCGATTCAATCCGAGCTGTGCGACGGGGGTGAAGAGGTCGTACCAGGAAGTGATGCAGAACGAGGATGTGGAGCTGTATGTTAACTTGGAGGAGAATTTGAAGTTTAACTTGGCGAACGAAATGAGTGTTCGGGTGGAGCCAGTAAAGCGGATGATTCTGAACCGTAATACCGCCAACGATCAAA